CAACCCTTTACTCTGAGGTAGTGTCTGTCTTTGAGATTGAGGTGTGTTTCTTGTAAGCAGCAGAATATTGGATCCTGATTTCTTATGCATTCTCTTACCCTGTCCCAGGAATGGTTCACACTCACCTGTCTGAATGAAACTCCTCTGCACAGAAACAAGGATGCCTGGTAGTCCAAGGACCCTGCAGACAAAATGGCGGTCGTGGAGGGGGCGATTCTTTCATAATTTTTCAGCCCCTGAATCCAAAAATACAGAAAAAATTTCAGGTTTCAAATGTTTACTGATGAAAATGACCAGTGACCTCCAAGAGGACACAAATTAGCTGATCAGTTCAATCTAAGTCTACATAGTGAGGTCCAGGTCAGCAATAATGGTAGAGTAAAACTATGTCCCAAAACATAAATAACAACAAACAACAAAGTTCACAAAAACAAAACAAAAAATAAACAACCAATAATGTTGCTCAGATCTTCAAACATTTGGGAAGTGGAGGCCAGTTTAGGAGTTTAAGGCCAGCATCATTCACATAGTAATTTAAGTCCAGGCTTGAAATCCCACAAATTCTTGAGCTTGCCCCAGTGTTAGATTACAGAATCCCACCAAAATCTAACAAAAATCCCATGAATCCTTGAGTTTGCCCCAAAATCAGGCTACAAAAATTTACCAAGTCACCCTGGAAAAGCTCCACCTGCAAGAAACCCTGTGTTAGCTCTGTATGCTGCTATATATGTTTGTTGTTGGTTCTCACCCTAGAGGCAATCAACCACCTGGATTTTTCCTTCCCAATAATTTTCTTGAGTGAGTTTTTTTTTTGTGTGTGTGGTGTGACACATTCACTGGAATGAAGCCCAGCTGTAACAACTTTTTCTGAAGCCAGAGCAGAGCAGAGCTGTGACACTTTCACTGGGGAAAATTTCCCTTAACAGAGCATAGTTGTTTCACTTCTGGGGGGATCTAGACATAGGTGGGACACTTTCCTGGATCTAAGCAGAGGTGTGACACTTCTCAGCAATTAAACATAGCAGAGCTATAATACTTTCACTGGGGAAAACTCTCCCCTAGTAGAACAGAGTTGTTTCACTTGCATTGGGATCCTTTATATAGATTAGAGATATAAGGTCCTATGTTTACAATGACTTTGTGGTATTCTTTGGCTTGCAACTGCCAGGATATCTTTCCATCCAAGCTCCAATGCTTACATATAGTGTAACTCCATTGAAAAGTATTGATTTTTTCTTCCAGCAGGTATCAATAGACAGCAGCATCTTGCTTAGGGGACTTTTTTCCCACTTCCCCTCCCTCATGCTGGGATTTTGTCCGGCTTGAATTTATTCAGGTATCTTAATTACACCATTGTGAGGAGACACCATGACCTAGGCAACTTATAAGAGAAAGAATTTAATTGGGGTTTGATTGCAAATTATAAGATTCATACATTATCTTCATGGTGGGAAGTGTGATGGCAGGCAAGTATGGTACTGCAGAAGGAGCTGAGAACTCACATCTATTCTGAAAGTTATAGTCATAGGAGAGAGAGAGAGAGAACCTGAGCCTGAAATGGGCTTTTGAAACTTTAAAGCCTACTCCTAATGACACACTTCCTCCAAAAGAGCAATACCTCTTATCCTTATCAAATAGCTTCACTAACTGGTGACTAAGCATTCAAATATATGATCACAAAGATGCCATTATCATTCAAAGAACCACAGCAGATTTTGTATGTGCTGCCATAGTTTCTGTGAATTCATATGTGCAACAGTCCTGTTGTGTCTGGAAAATTCTGCTTTCTTGGAGTCAGACACCACCTCTAGTGCTACAATCTTCCTGACTCCTAATCTGAGTAAATCCCTGAGCATTGAGGGAAGGGATTGATAAAGACATTCATTTGGGGCTGAGTATTCTAAGGCCTCTCATTCTCTGTAGATTGTCCAGTTGTGGGTCTCTGTGTAATAGTTGATTTATTGATCAATCAATACAGTGTATTGATCTACCGCTGAGTAGTACTCTAATGTGTATATGTTCCACACTTTCTTTAACCATTCTTTTATTGAGGGGCACCTAGGTTGTTTCCAGGTTGTGGCTATTACTAATAATGCTGCTATGAACATAGGTGAACAAATGCTTTTATAGTATGCTTGACCATCTCTTGGGTATATTCCCAAGAGTGATATTGCTGGATCCTGGGGTAGGTTGATCCCGAATTTTCTGAGAAACTGCCACACTGATTTCCAAAGTAGTTGCAGAAGTTTGCATTCCCATCACCAATGGATGAGAGTACCCTTTACGCTACATCCTCTCCAGCAAAAACTATCATTGGTGTTTTTGATTTTAGCCATTCTGACAGGTGTAAGATGGTATCTCAGAGTTGTTTTGATTTGCATTTCCATGATTGCTAAGGAGGTTGAGCATGACCTTAAGTGTCTTTTGGCCATTTGAACTTTTTTTGTTGAGAATTCTCTGTTCAGTTCAGTGCCCCATTTTTTAATTGGGTTAATTAGCATTTTAAAGTCTAGTTTCTTGAGTTCTTTATATATTTTGGAGATCAGACCTTTGTCTGTTGCGGAGTTGGTGAAGATCTTCTCCCAGTCAGTAGGTAGCCTTTTTGTCTTCTTGAATTTTGCATGCAAATGAATGGAAATAGAAAACATATTCTGCGTTAGGTAATCCAGACCCAAAAAGATGAATATGGTATGTACTCACTCATAAGTGGATTCTAGCCATAAATAAATGTCAGTGAGCCTATAATTCGTGGTCCTAGGGAAGGTAAATAAGAAGGTGAACCAAAGAAAAACATATAGTTATCCTCATGGATATTGGAAGTAGACTAGATTGCCAGGCAAAAATTGGAACCTTGGGGGTGGGGGTAGGGTAGGGGTAAGGGGACATGGGGAGAGAAAAGTGAAGAGGGGAGGATGGGGAGACCCTGGGGGAATGGGGTGGTTGGGATGGAGGAAGGGTGGATATGGGGGCAGGAAAGGAGATGTCTTAATTAAGGGAGCCATTTTAGGATTGGCAAGAGACTTGACTCTGGAGGGGTTGCCCAAGGAGATGTCCCCAGCTTGTTCCTTGGGCAGCAGAGAGGGTGCCTGAACTGGCCTTATCCTATGGCCACAGTGATGAATATCTTGTATATCACCACAGAAGCTTCACCTGGCGATGGATGGAGATAGAGACAGAGACCCACATTGGAGCACTGTACTGAGCTCCCAAGGTCTAAATGAGGAGCAGAAGGAGGGAGAACATGAGCAAGGAAGTCAGGACTGCGAGGGGTGCGTCCACCCACTGAGATGGTGGGACTGATCTAATGGGAGATCACCAAGGCCAGTTGGACTGGGTCTGATGGAGCATGTGATCAAACCGGACTCTCTGAATGTGGCTGACGGTGGAGGCTGACTGAGAAGCCAAGGACAATGGCTCTGGGTTTTGATTCTACTGCATGGACGGGCTTTGTGGGAGCCTAGTCTGTTTGGATGCTCACCTTCCTGGACCTGGGGGGAGGGGAGAGGACCTTGGACTTCCCATAGGGTAGGGAACCCTGACTGCTCCTTGGACTGGAGAGGAAGGGGGAGGGGGGAGAGGAGGGGAGGGAAGTGGGAGGAGGGAAGAAGGTGGAAATTTTCAATATAAAAAATAAAGTAAATAAATAAATAAATAAGACCAAAAAAAAAAAAACCCAAAATCTTCCATCGATTAACTGATGGAAACAGATGCCCAAAGGCAAATGCAGACTGGTTAGTTGAGGACCACTAGACAGAGCTCACGGAATCCTATTGAAGAGAAGGAGGAGCGATAAGGTGAGCAAAGGTATCCAGGCAGTGATGGGGAAACCCATAGAAAAAGTTGACCCTTACTAGTTGGAGCTCACTGACTTAAAACTTACAACCAGGAAATCTGCAGTTTCCTGAGAAAAACACAAATGGTGACAGCTGACACCTCACCTTACATCAACACTGAACCATGGTTGTCATTTTTCAGCAATAGCGTTGTAAAGTTGTCCTATTTTATGGCTTTCTTCTACAAAGGAATGAAAATTTCTTTAATCACAATAAAATAAGGTGGGGAAGGTAAATTATGTTCTCACTCCGATTTTGAGAATTCAGGATCTAGTACACACCCAATGTCAAGTTGGGAGCATAGGCCCCAGCCCCTCGCATCCATCCCAGCCCCCAGGCCTGGTCTGGACTCCAAATCCCAGTATGTCAGGTATTTAAGTGATCCCCGAAGAGGAACATGTGGTCTCCCTCTCTTCCTTCTTGGGGTCGCGTCTTTGGGGCCACCCGAGAGGGCAGATCTCCCATTAAACCTGGATATTTCTTTTTTTCTCTTTTATTTATTTATTTATTAAAAATTTCCACCTCTTCCCCGCCTCCCTTTTCCCTCCCTTTTCCCACCTCAACCTCCCTCTCTAGTATTAAGAGCAGTAGGGTTTCCTGCCCCGTGGGAAGTCCAAGGTCTTACCCCCTCCATCCAAGTCTATAAAGGTGAGCATCCAAACAAACCTGGATATTTCTTAATTTGGCTTGTTTTGATTTGACTTGATTGGGAATTTCTGCGTGGGCAGGGAGCTCGCGTTAGAAATATTCCTAAAACCTAGGTTACTTGGAACAAACATAGGGAGTAGCAGAGGAAGCGGCAGAGAGATAGAGGGCATCCTACTCAGGAATCCTAGGAGAGACCCTGTTAGGCATTCCATTAGATAAGGTGGGCTAGGGAGAGTCGGAACTAAGGGGACATCCTTATAGTTCTGGAGCATTGGTTGGAAGAAGTCTTTTGTTTGGCATGGAACCTTAAGGTAGGTGGCTCACTTTGGAGGCCTCGAATTTTTACCGCCCTTGGGTCGCAGAAAAACCCGGATGGAACATCCCGGACATCCCATTGCCTTTGAATTGCAGCATGGGGCGGAGCTTTCTATGTGTCCCATATTCTGATTGGTTAGTATTCACAGTTTCTTTGTTTAGATTGGACAATCGTAATGCTGATCACGAACGTCACTGGCCTCTCGGCCTGTTGGCAGGACTTAGTGGGTGTCGACTTCTAAATAAGCCCACGGCAGGGTCTCTCTGTGGTCGAGCCTCGCTGTTCGGATTTGCTTCCTGGTGTCTGGGTCGCGAAACCTTGAGGAGATTTTTCAAGCGGCTTGAGGGGTCCGGGGCGCCCAGATATCCCGAGGTCTCCGCGCCCGGCGCCATGTCCTGGGCGTTCAAGAGGTGAAGGGCTGACGGGGTGGGGCGAGAGGCCGGTGGCTCTGCGCGGGCCTGAAGTGAAACCTGCGCTCCCATCCCGGGCGATGGGTGCAGCTCCTGTTCCTTCTGCAGGTCGCTTGCGGGCCGACTCGGGAATTTGCTGCCAGCACTTCGGGAAATCTCCTTCACCGATTGTGGGGAATCCGAGGTTCCACCCAATTGGCTACCCTCTGTGCTCTAGGCATTGTTAGGAATTTCTGTTTTAACATCTCCGAGACAGCCCGACTTTAGTGTCTCACAGTAATGTGCACAAACGTGCTAACATACAGAAGAACTGAAAGGAAAACTCCCAAAGGGTAGCTCCGTGTGCTTTTAGAAGAAGCACTTCTAGGAGGCTTCCAGCAAACTTTTAATCATCTTTAATGGTTTTCTTGCCCATTCCTGCAATAATTATCCTTAAGATCGAAGTTACCTTTAAAATAACAAGCTGGTGGATAGATTAGCTTTCTATGATACCTGAGTTAAAATGTATTCTGTTCTGAAGGAGTAAAAGCAGTGTTGTGTTGAAAATATTTTCATAGTTGAACCACCCTTCGACTGGAGGCAGGAGACAGAGGCAGGCAGATATCTGATTTCAAGACCTGCCTGTTCTACAGAGTGAGTTTCTAGGTAAGCCAGGGCTACGCAGAGAAACCCTGTCTCTAAAAACCAAAGCGAACAAACAAAAAACAAAGCATGTAACAATAATTATGTTTTTATAAATGTTTTCTTCATTAGTTGGCATTGAAAATTTTGACATGCAACTCTAGCTTCAGGTATCACATACATTTTAATGTAGTACAGTTTTCACCAGAAAATAATTTCCAATATTTAACAGGTCAGATTATCCTGGTAGCTTTCCTCACTCAGTTCTTTTTTTTGGCAAGGTAATTTTTAAGTGATATTTGTCACATAACAAATAAAATGGAAGGAAGTGATTGGCCTGAAAATACTATTTGATTGTGTTCTTTGAGAAATACTTGCTTAAGTTCTGGGGTTTTGATGCCTTTCTTTTCCTTTTTTCTTTTTTTAATAGGGATCCTGTTTGGAAGTATTTGCAGTCTGTCCAATATGGAACCCATGGAAAATTTCCAAGACTTTCATACCCAACTTTCCTTCCACATTTTGAATCCCAAGACATTACCCCTCCAGATGACTTCCTAAATAGTGATGAAGAGCTAGATTGCGTTTTATTTGGAACTTTGAGAGGTCAAGTTGTTGGACTGCGCTATTACACAGGAGTAGTGAGTATGAAGAGATACTAAATAAAATTGTGGTATACTTATGGTTTTAACAGTAAATTATATTAAATGGTGATATATACAATTAATGTTTTACTTTGAGTGACTGAAATATGTCACTCAAAGGCTAGTCAGAAATACCTGTACCATCTTTGACTATTTTTTTACATTTTTGTCGTGCTTACAGTATATTAAAACTTTTGCCCACACTGTCATTTGATCCTTATAATTACCGAGGTACTCTTCCTTAATGGAAGATAGAGATGGCTAAAGAAGATCTAGATGGTTTGCCCTAAGTTCGGAAAATATATGTTGAATTTAGGAAGTGATTTTAAATCCGTCAGTTTTTACTAGATAAGTTAATTGTTTATTTTGGGGTTCTTTCCTTTATTTTTGTAATAAGAATAGCGCTTGTTCTTTTTTTCCTATGTTTCTCTATTCTCCAAATTGAATGTGTGTATGTGTGTTTGCATGCACACCCACGTGTGCACACGCCCACATGTGTAAGAGAAAGAAAAAGGGACAGATTGAGAATATATTTAATTTTTTTGGACAGTAATCTTCATTATGGTCATCTTTGTTATTTGGATAATATTTCTAAGATCTAATTTTTTATGAGAAAATTTCAAGCATAAAATCAAAATAAGATTCAGAGATTAGCAAGTATTTTCTGTATCTGCTTTTTTCTCTTTGATCTTTTGTAAAAAAAATAGTATAGTTCAGTATATATTTCTTTACAATGCAGTTTGGGGGCTGAAGAGATGACTCAGCAGTTAAGAGCTCTTGGCTGCTCTTAGGACTAGAGTTCTTTTCTCAGCAGTCATGGCTGGCAACTCACAACTCCCTTTACAGTTTCAGAGGTCTGTACCTTCTTCTGGCACACATGGGTACTCACACATAAGCCCCCACAACATACACACATATCTAAAAATAAAACACATATTTTAAAAAATAGTTTTTATATTTCATTTTCTTTAAAGGAATTAACAATTATATGTAATAAGTAATCAATAGTTGGATTCTGTTGACTATTTATAATGTCCTTATTTTTATCAGGATTAAAACAGGGTTGATACATTCTCTCTGGCTGTTAGGGACCATAAGGCCCACTCTAGTTTACTGTTACAGATTTGTGTGTCAAAAACAAGGTCTGTTTTGTGGAATCTTGTTGGTTTTGTTACTTTTCTCCATCCCTTGTATATTTATGTTAAAACTTGCTAAATGATTTTTTGTAGTTGTTGTTGGGGGAGTGAGTTTGAGACAGGCTTTAACTCTATAGCCTACCCTGACCTGGAACTCACTAAGTATTCAGGTTGACCTTGAACTCCTAGTAAACTCATAAAGGTCCACTTGTCTCACCCTTCTGAGTACTTGATGGTTTCAAAACATTTTTTTCAGTATGTATAAGTTGAATTAATCAGGGGATACTTTGAGGGAATTCTGTGTTTCCCATTTGTCTTGCTTTTCATTCTCTATTTTTTTAATGTTGGAACATTTCATGTTGTTTAGTAGTTGTAGGAGATGTGCTGTCCAGGAAATTACTTAGGGAAGAGCAATTATTTCTTGAGTTTTTATAAATCCATAATTTTCGTTTTCTGCTTGAGCATTTGACTAAACATAAAGTGCTTGTTTCATGCACAACATATGGTTAGTGAAGATTTTGATATCCGTAGGATTTCCTTTATCACTTAGCTAAATTATAATTTTTTGCCTGATGATTAAAAGATATTATTCTTACCTTAAAAGTCTAATAGTTTCATTAAGATATTTGTTCTATAAATTTGTTTCCTACTATTTCAGAACAGTTCTGTAATTATAATTTTAAATATTTGCTTTATTCCAAAGCTATTTCTTCTTTAGAAACTCCATCTTCTCTCATTTACTTCCTCTCTTCGACTTGCTCTGTTTGCTATTACCTCTATGCTATCTATATCTGCTACTGACTCTAAATATTTTTACTACAATTTTTCATTTTTCTGTTTTCCCCTTTTATTTTTCTTACCATGTTTTTCAAATACTTTGTTTATATTTGTGTTAATTTTACTCCAGTCTTGGCCCTTGAAATATTTTCTTTCCTCTCGTCCTGTTAGCAATCTATGCTTTCTTATTTGGTATCTTACCGCTCTCTGGCTCTCACATCCCTTTATGAGTTGTTATATTTCTGGTTTGTACTATTACAAAATTTATATTGGTTTTCTAAAGTTTAATTTTGTGAAGGATTAGTTATAGTTATTAATCTCATAATAGTTACTTCTTTTTATCTTAGAATAATCTCTGTAACACTAGTTAACTAATAAGAATATATGCTGATTAAATATTTAGCTCATTTTCCCACAGTATTGTATTTAGGTAATGCATTCATTATTTTAAAATAGATAAAATGCATTGAATTTTCATACCATAACTTATCTTATATGTTCTATACTTTTTTCTATAAATGTGCATATATGAATTGAAATCATACATTAATAAAAATAAATCCAAACAGGAAGTGGTTAGTTACATCCATTACAGTTATGCCACTGTTGTACCTAAGGGTATTTCTTGCCACACAGTAATTATTCCAATTTGAATAGTTCACAGCTGGCTAAGACTGTTGATAACCCCACCACCACTACCACCCCCAGAAGCCTTCATAGCACCTTCCTGACCTATGAAAGCTACTCAACAGGGAATAAGTCAGGACCAACTTCACTTCTCCAGATCCTGTGGCCAGTGAGTGTGGTGTCTTCACACTTGTCTTACCATAAAATTCTGGAGGGCAGCCAAGAACCAAGACAATATCATGTATTATTTTAGGAGTTTCTTGAAGGCCAGAAACCTATACCTGGCACTGAACTTTAAATTTGGCAACCTAGGGTTTCAGGTATGAGCATAGTTCCCTGTGAAGAGTAACTCTAATTAAACTCTTTTATATAGAAAAATATTACACACACAGTATGTATATATGTATAATTTCTGTGTTATTTTTGTTTTCATACATCCATCATGTTAATTATGTCTCCCCTAACCCACCCTGTGCTCTACCCTCTCTCGTCCCTTTCCCTACTTAAACTTCCTAGTTATTCCTCTTTTCCTTTTCATATCACCTGACTTCTTTCTCCAAATATTAAGCACCCCTTTTTGCCTGGATTGTGCAGGAAAGACACAAGTATAAAGACTTGACAATAAGATCCATATATGATTTAGAACATGTAATATTTGTGTCTCTGGGTCTGGGTTACTTTACCCAATATAATATCCATCTCTTGACTTGCAAATTTCATTTTTCTTTATAACTAAATTAAAATCCCATTTTATGCAGGTACCACATTTTCACTCTTTATCATACTTTATCACTATATGCCCACTTGATGGACATATAGGCTATTTCTGTGTCCTATCTGTAATGAATAGAGTAAATATGAACATGTATGTATGCGTGTGTCTCTGACTCAATCATACCATTTGGGGGCACATATATCCAAAGTATAGCTATTTTGAAAAATGTAGGTAGTATTCTCTACTTTAAGGTAGACTTACTGTATCTTTCATATCTTAAAACTTATTAACTTCTTTTTTTTTTTTTTATTTTTTTCCCCCCCCTTTTTTAGACAGTGTTTCTCTGTAGCTTTGGGGCCTGTTCTGGAACTAGCTCCTGTAGACCAGGTTGGCCTTGAACTCACAGAGATCCACCTGCTTCTACCTCCCAAGTGCTACAATTAAAAACATGTGCCACCACTGTCCAGCTAAAACTTATTAGATTCTTAATGAATATAAATTAGAAAACTAGAGTGGAAGAATCATTTTAAAATATATACCTTAATATTTCTGGTTTGAGCTGGACCTCTAGCTCGTTGACAGATTGCTTTGTAGTCTTTACCATGCCTTGGATTCAATCCCCAACATAATATAAACTGGGGGTGGTAGCACATATTGTAATCTCAGCACTCAGGAGGTAGAGGCAGAATGATCAAAGTTCAGTACTGTCTTCAGTTCAAGATCATCTCTGGCTACATTGCAAATTGGAGGCCATTTGATACACGAGACCCTGTCTCAAGCCAGCAAACAAAATACAAAGAAAAACTAACAATAATGTATATGAATGGGTATTCTAGAAACAGTACAAGGAAATCAAACTATTACTGTTCATATTTATATTATTATTGTCTTCTCCTTATTTTTACTAGGTAAATAATAATGAAATGGTTTCTTTACAACGAGAGCCTAATAATCCCTATGATAAGAATGCGATTAAAGTAAACAATGTGAATGGAAATCAGGTTGGTCATTTAAAGCGAAATCTTGCAGCTGCCTTGGCCTCTCTCATGGACAACAAATTGGTACAAGTGGAAGGGTATGTGCTTTTAGAGTTTGTTTTAGTAATTGTAATTTTTAGTTCTCTTTGAATACATACACATTTCCTGGGCATCTGGAAGTGTCGTGGCACCATACTTTGGTGTACTTTCAGACATGTTCACTTTTCTTCTTTGACTTTCCTATCTAGCTATCAAACAGTTGTACACTTATTTTTTTATTATTACCATGGAGAAAAACAAACTTGAAAATCAAACTTGCAGTTGTACTTAGCTTCCCGCCTCATACTCTTCCAGATTCTGCATGACAGGTATGCCTTACCAGAGGAACTTCTGGTTGTGGGGTGTTTTTTCTATTGTTTGAAACAGGGTTTTGCTGGTAGAACTTGGCCTTGTACTCCCAACCCTGCCTTAGCCTCCTGTGTACTAGAATTAGAAATGGGCACCATCATGCTTAGCTCACTTGCACATTTTAGAGTTTTCTTCATTTCTTACTGTAAATAAAATCTAGTTATTCTATATAATAATATTCTCTCTGAATGCAGAACTTGCTAAGAATTGTCTTTTGATAAATGATAGATTTGGCACATGGCACATGTTGTCCATTGATTGGAACTTAGGAAGTGGCTGCCCTTTAGCAAGGGCATATGCTCTGCCTTTATTTTCACCATTTTGTTTCTCATTGTTAGAATTTCATTTTTCATTCTGGTTACTTGTTCTCTGTTAGCGTTTGTGATCTTATTGTAAATATTTGGGATAGTTATATCCTAATGCTTAGAATATTCATCCCTCCTGATTTGGAAGATAAAATAAATAGTTAACATCGCCTTTGCTTTTTACTTTATAAATTTTTAGTGCACATTAGATGCTAAAACTATCCTGTCAGATATATGCATTGTGCATTATTTTGCTTATTTTGCAGTCTTGCATGTAAGTTGTCTTTTGTGAACTACTTTATCCTATCATCTCAAGTTTTTTTGACATCCTGTTGTAAAAACACTTTTTTTTTTCCTGATTGGTGATTTTATTTCTTTTTCTGTTTTTCAGATTTGCTTAAATAATACCTTCTTGTTTTCAATTTTTGTGTTTTAGTGATATATTTAATATATTCAGAATTAGTATAAAAATAACTTTCAGTTTCTCATTTTTTTTTCCCTTTACTATAATAGAGTAGTTCCTTTTGGTGCAAATAATGCTTTTACCATGCCTCTTCATATGACTTTTTGGGGAAAAGAAGAAAATAGAGAAATGGTTTTAGATCAGTTGAAGAAACATGGATTTAAACTGGGTTCCACATTGAAAGGTAAGTTTGATACTGTGAGATGCAGGGATTGAAGTAATTTTTTTTCTTTTAGTTTGGTTGGCTAGCGTAATGTCTGCAAAATACTTTAAATTATAACCCCTTTTTTTAATCTTTCGAAGAATTGATGAGTTTTTCTTTTATATATCTATTGAAATAATAGATTCTGAGGAATATATCAATGTGTTTATTTTGTCACTGTCTAGCCATCATAGATTACTCATACAACATGAGATAGTTAATCTTATGGGTCCACCGTTATATGTCCAAATCATAACTTCATGTTTGTAATTATAGATTCATGAATACACAAAAAATGCGCACAAGGAGGGTCAATGTTCCCTATTTAATTTTCCCCAATATTAACCTAATTCTTTATTTTAAACATTTATTTTTAATAACTTTTTTTAACAAAAAAATTGTTTAGTAGGGAGTGAAAAGGAATTTGCTGTTCTCTTAGAATTTATTCAAATAATATGTAATTATTTTTAAAACGTAATTTTTTTCTTTTGCGAATGATTTAGTATTTAGCTTTATTTTTTTTAGCTTTAGGGATATATTTCAGTAGTAGATCATTTATATACTTTTTTATATTCTTTGCAGTTCTGGGACTATTCATACTAGGCAATTATTCTGACACTGAGCTACAACCCCAGGACTATGGGATTTTTAAATACTGTTTGATATTTACATTTATTTCTGGTGCTTAATTTCTTTTTATTTGCTTATTTTATTTTTTTCTTTTTGGAAACTGTAGATTTAGGATTGAGTTTGGAGAATAGTTTGGTCTCTGGAAAAGCTGGACCAAGATATAATATGCCAGCTCATGCTGCAGTACAGATGACAGCTGAACAGGTGAGCTTTCTGATGTTGTTTTTTCATTTTTAACTTGAGTCAAGGTCTCATGTAGACTTACCTCAAAATCATTTTTGTCTTATGGGTTTCTATTGCTGTGAAGAGATACTATGACCCCAGAAACTCTTAAAAAGGAAAGCATTTAGTTGGGAGGCTTACAGTTTAGGAGTTCAGGTCATGGTGGAACATGGTGGCAGGCAGGAAGACAGGCAACTGGAAGTGGTCTCTCACTGGGCATGGCTTGAGCATGTATGAGAACTTAAAGCCTGCCTCCACTATGACATGTACTCCAACACGGCCACACATCCTACTAGTGCCATTCCCTTTGGGGGCAGTTTCTTTCAAACCACCAGAACTGTGTGTGACTGAGAATGGCCTTGAACTCCTGGTCTTCCTGCCTCTGACTCAGATATTGGGATTAGAGGTTTGTCACCATACCTGCCTCAGGTATGTTTTTATCTTGTACTGTATGTAAATTTTTAGTGACAAAGGTTGCTGCTTAAAAGAACAGGATAAATATGTATGAGCTGGTATTAGTGATCTTTAGTTATGTTGTTAAAATTATAATGAAAACTACTGTATAGCATATAGAATGTAGATATTTATTTGCAAACATATTCTTAAAAAGCAGTGATAAGAATTATACTCATCCCTTTTAACTCACAGAAACTGGAACCATCCAATCACACACACACACACACACACACACACACACACACACAGCACTTTTTGTATAGAATTACTGCATATCTCATATTTTAAACAATTTCTAAATTATATTATCTGCTATAAATATAAAAGATATGTTAGACTGTTGTTTAGGGAATAATGACAAGGGAAGTCTATGTAGAGAGGCTTAGTACAGACATAAACAATGTATGACTCACAATATTTTTGATTAGCTACATCTATGAAAAGGAGAATGGGTTCACATTTATGCAGTTATACATACAGAAAATTATAGATACATTGTATATGTAATATTTTTGTATTTAAATTTTCAGAATATCCAAGTGGTAATAAAAAACACTAGAATGTGAAAAGTATTCTCGCTCTTCAGTAAGATTGCAAATTCAGTATTAAAAAACTTAAAATCTTTGATATTACTGTAATTATTTTGCCTAATTTATAATCCAGGATGTTGTTAAACCAAGTTACTCTGAAAAAATGTATATGATGTTTGTTAATATAAATAATTTGGACGCTAACATTAAAACATTTTTATGACTGTTTGTCCACCAGTGGTTTTAGACTAAAGCATTCAAACATTTTTTATCTGTTTATCTACTAGAGGTATTCTTTTTATTTCCCAAATACAATTTTCCTGAATGTTGAAAGGACATGAGCTTTTGCATGGTGGGCAAATCATAAGCCACTTCTATTAAGCTGGCATGATGTTTTCTGGATGACTGCTATGTATCCATATGTTAGTTTGTAAAGACATACAGTGTAAATTGCTTTAAAACTGAACTAGATCAATTTAAATGATCATCTAAATTAGCCTAATATTAGATTTACCCTAACAGGACATTCTAATAGGTTTGCCAAAATAGTTTAAATGCTAGCAGAATCATAGAGTTCTAATGGGAGAGAGAAAATTGGCGAAAATAAAACACAGCCCATAGTTCTCTGCCTAAACATGCAGGGTCATTTGTGCACATGTCATAGGACTTAAACTTCACTACTGTCCTTTCAGTATCTTTAGGATTAGGCCCTGTAGAGGGTTGGGCCAGTGCTCTCAGCAGGCTGCATCTATGGTCCTTTGTAGCTCTTTTGTATATTTATCTGAAATGAGTACATTTACTTCTACAGAAAAATCACCTTGTAATGCTTTTCAGTGAGTGATTTACTATCTCAGATACTTATTTTATGTGTGCGTCATCATTTGACTTATTTGGTGTAAATGATTTGAAACCTATAGATTACATGTAATTTTCACTTTGTTTTTAATCAGCATTTATTATTTTTAAACTGTAGCTCAAAATGGAATTTGACAAATTATTTGAAGATTTAAAAGAAGATGCCAAAACTAATGAGATGGAACCAGCTGAGGTACAGAACCTATATATTTTTAAAAAATTGCTTTATTTTGTGTATAAAGTTTTATAATGACTTTGCTTTTCAAGTGTGCAATATACTTTGAGCTTATCCATATTCATAACATATTACCTTCTCCTTTCTCTTCTGAGTATTTCCATGTAGTGTTTCTTCTTTTTTTCATGTCAGAAAGAATATGTTTATATTATGCATATTTGGGTATTTGCATACACATACCCTAGCTTCCCAGTATGAGAGAAAATATGTGATGTGGGTCTGACTTTCTTTGTAGGCCTGGCCTTTACCACAAAATAATAATGATCAGTTTTATCTAGTTTTCTGTAACACACATAAGTTTGTGCTTTAAGGCCAAATATAACTGCATGATGCAAATATGCTTCATTTTTTCCTTCTCTTTATTTATTGACAAATGCCAGATTAAACTTGGAAGAGCTCACTCACAGCTGGATTATATGTATATGTAGCTTTTCTAGATACCTTCATATTGATTTTGATAATGGCTGCACTAGCTTACATTTCCACTAGCATTATAGAAAACTTTCCTTTTTCCTAAGTCCTTGTGAACATTTTTCTGTTTGTTTAAAATTATACCCATTTTCACAACAGTGAGATGGATGCGTAGTGCATAGCTAAGGACATTGGGCACTCTTTCACATGGATATTGGCTATCTGTATTTTGCTTTTTTGGAAGTGCCTGTTTGCTTCATTTCCTCATTTGTGGATAGACAGTTTCAATTTCAGAAAAGAATTCCAGAAACTCAAGAAATTATTTCTGGAACGGACTCATTGAAAGCAGTTAATGGACTGCCAAGATAGTTTAGAAATTGGGGCAGTCTCTGCTAGCTGCATGTCTGTTTTAGGGTTGATATATAGAAAATATAAAGAACTTAAAAATATAAACCAGTATTTCAAATGTATTGAATTATTAACTGTCTTAGTAATTTATACATTTAATACTATAAGAGAGTAACTCAGGTTCTACATATGAAAAGGGTAAAGACTGACTATATTTTCTTTATGATACTGCATTTGTAGGCTATTGGAACCCCATTGCTTCCACACCAAAAACAAGCTCTGGCTTGGATGATTTCACGAGAGAACAGTAGAGAACTTCCACCATTCTGGGAACAACGAAATGGCGTATATTATAACACAATAACAAATTTTTCTGTAAAGCAACGACCAGAAAATGTTCATGGAGGAATTTTAGCTGATGATATGGGTTTGGTAATTTTTTTTTTTTACTTCAGTTAGGAAAATCTTACTTTGCAATTACAATTTTCTAAAAAGAAATTGTAAAATGGAAAGATGGGTGCCAGTTTAGCACTGGAGTTTGCTTTCAGTGTAGATGTAAGATATATATTTTTTAGTATTTTTTTTAAAGTATAGGCTTCTAGGAAACCAACAGATGGATCAAAGAGCAAAAAATAGTTAAAAATGAGTAATAAAATACATTAACATTCATGAGTGTATAAGCATATATTCCCAATTTTCTTTACTTATCAGAATTCAGGACATCCTACCTTTTAAAAAGTAAATGATAGTGAGTTTAGTCCCCATCATTGCAAAAAATAGTAGAATGTAAAGAAAGGCCCAGTTATTTACCTGAGGAGCCTGCACCTCATTTTGTGCTTTAAGAAAGAAAACCTTTGGTATTGGTAGTAATGTCGACAACAAGAGAGAAGCAATAGTCTCACAACCTTCTTACAACCTATTTAACTATACTGGCCTATTTGTTTCTAATTCTGCTTCTGCTGCAGACCTGCTTGGCCAAGAGAGGCATCCTCAGCTACCAGAGAATGAAATCATTTTCAAGGACTATGCGGGTGACCCAATAGATAATAATGTTATCTGATTGGAGGGCCTACCACCAAGCTAAGCTACGACAAGTTAGCTGTCCCCACAGGTTTCTTTCCTACTAGAGTATAGATACTGGCCTCATATCATGACTTTATGTATGACTCCAGCTTCAGTGTCACCAGGTCTGCTGAGAAATTTAGAAATAGTAATGCAGGTTCTGAGAAGTTTGACCTGAATCATGGACAGTTAGACAGGAGCCATGAGATGTCAGATGGTAGCACAAGAAACAAGACAGGTATCATGACAAGTTAGACTGGAGCCATGACAACAGTGATAGAAGTTCAGAATGTGGCAATAATAAAGTAGACAAAGGGAGTGGGACGGGAATGGGACAGGACCAATAGGCCTGATAAGATAGACATGGAAGAGGACAGAAAATGGTGTTGCCAGTGAGTAGAGCAGTCTTACATGCATCACAAAAAAAGTGGTAAGCGGAAAATAGAGGTCGACCCCACTGAGGTTCCTCATTCAGAATCTAACAGCAGGACCAAACCTCGACTCCTCTGACCCCTGGCTGTTTTCTTCCCTCCTCCTTCCTTTCTTCCCTTTCTCCATCCTGCAGATGAAATCTGGGCTTCATGTGTGTTAGACATGCAACCTACACACGCTCCTACATACTTAACTCTCCATTCCTTGGTGTCTTTAGTAACAGGTTTTTTTTTTTGTTTGTTTGTTTTTTGTGGGAGGAAAGAAGATAATGTTATTTGAAATCATATTCTAGTTCAAACACTGGGTATGCAGTGCAACATAGTAGATATGTCACACATTGTGACAGGTTACCATAGCCGTTCCTGTGCCTTTGGTCATAGAGCTCTCACTGTGAGCTCTATAACTTTACAGTGTCAGGCATTAAATTAAATAGTTTTGAAATATTTAAAAGGAACAATAGGTAAAAACTTAGAAGTAGCATATTTTAAAGATAATTCACATTATTATTCATAATAATAATAGTAGCTTTTATGAGAATGCTGTCACTGTTTAGTTTTGCAAGTTGTAGGTGCAGAAAGTGGCAACTGACCTGTCAAATTGTGGCATTTTTTGGTATGTTGGGATTGTGTTGACTTTTTCCTTACAGATAGTGCAAAAGTAATGTACTATTAGTTGCTTTTCTTATCTCTATGATTCCATTTCTAACTTTAGAGAGGAATTTTATTTTCTTTTTTGGCTTTCAGTTCTAGAAGATAGAGTCCGTCATGGGGAAGGTAAAGGGGCAGTAATTTAAGTGGTGGCCACCTTGTGCCTGTAGTTAAGAGACAGACATGCGTACAGATGATCACCCCAGTCTATGGAATGGTGCCACACACAGTTAGAGTGGCACATCCTACTTCATTTACCTAGTCTAGAAATTTTATTATTGACATATCTCAGAGGTCTATCTTCCAGGAGATTGTAGTTCCTGTCAATACAATTAGTATTAATCTTATAAGTATTTTAAAATCTCTTAAGATGAAATACTAAAATCCAAGTATTTATTCATTAAAGGTACTAACCACTAGGCAATGATACTAACTTTATTATTATTACAATTCATCTATTCATGTTGTATATTGAATGTTTTACCTGTAAATGATTTTATGAAGAGGCTTGCCCTTTGGAAAATGCTAATTGTACATCTGTCACATATAGTGTATTTCATCATGAGTGTTGAAGGCTTGTGATATTCCTTAATGTTACCACTAATCTTATGAGCAAAGAATTACATTCTTGGCAGTTGCTTTAGTCATACTATAATGTACAAGTTTTATAACATTTTAATGTTTTATTGAAAATTGAATTAACCCTCACAACAAATACTGTTGTTTTCCTTAAAGACAATCCTTTACACCTTACATTGATTACTTTCAACAAAATTCATCCTAGAACTCAGTCATTAACAATGACAGTTGTTCATTCTTTCAAGTAAAAATAGTATATGAATATATGTAAATATGCATGTAACAACAATTAATGAAAAAAGAGGCCATGAATTTGAAAGAAAGATTTGAAATGAGAAGATGATCTGATTATAATCTCAAAAAGGGTATGTAGCAGTGCCTGAGGACTGACAGTAAGATTCTTCTCTGGCCTCCATTCGTGTGTATACTCACACATGCACTTATACACACATAAATAATTTTGATCTTACAATCTCCTGAAAGGATATGAGGGTACCAGACTTTGGGGACTACTTTAAAATTAATACTTTTCTTTCTGTGTTACTAACTATGAATATTACTATTGAAAGTAATGAAAGTGATTGTCTTCATATGCATATTAGAATTTCTCATTATCTTAACTCTGAGGTTCAGTAAAAGCTGTTGATACTAGTTTCATGATAAAATGATAGTTCAATGTAGAGTGTTAATCATTCACTAAAATGACATTTCTCTGCTGCTTATAGTCAAACATCTAGTAACATGTTAGAAGAAAAATGTTCTTAACTAAGTGAAATACTTATTTTTCTTTAACAATTATATTGTTTAATAATCATACATGCTGTGGCTTTCACTGATACTCACTATTTTATTACTTTAAAATATGTTTTGAAATGTTTTCTAGATGGATTTTGGAATATGATCATTTGTCTTTTAAAAATATTTTAAAGGGCAAAACTCTTACTGCTATTGCAGTGATTCTGACCAACTTTGCTGATGGCCAGCCTCTTCTCAGTAACAGAAGTGAGACGAATCATTCAAGAAAGGTAAAGAAAGTGTGTGCTAGGAAAGCTGCTTTACCATAGAAATTTCAATATTATTAAAAGTAGTTGACAACTAATTAATAATAGCTGATCTTTTTGAGATGTGATTAATGGTTTTTAAACCACTCATAATGATGCTTATAGAAGTGTAAGTTTTCTTGAGGGGTGAATGTTTTTAATCCCAGTACTCAAGGGGCTGAAGCAGATCTCTGAATTTGAGACCAATCTAGTCTACAAAGTGAGTTCCAGGCCAGTCAAGGGATACATAGTAAGAAACAACAGAAATAAAACAAGCAAATTAAAAAACCCCAAATATACAAATAAACAACCAAAAAGAATATAGGTACCATATTTGTCTTAGTTCTGTTTCTGTGAAGAGCACGATGACCAGGTTTACTTACCAAAAAAACCACATTAATTGGGAGGTTGTTTACAGTTGCAGAGGGTTAGTCCATTATCACCATGGTGATCAATGGTGGTGGGGAGCATGGTAGTGAAACAATAGCTGAGAGCTCATTAGTGCTGGTAGATGGGAGGGAGGGACAGAGCAATAGAGAGAGAGAGAGAGAGAGAGAGAGAGAGAGAGAGAGAGAGAGAGAGAGAGAGAGAGAAAGAACAAAAGAGAAATTAGAAGTAAACAGTTATTCCTGTTCTCAACCTAAAATTCTAAAAGCCTGAATTGGAAAACAGCACAAAGATGGTTTCTGTATTTTACTTTTCATGTACACTAGTTTTCCTTAGACCTTATTATTGAATTTTTAATTTTTTTTTTACTTTTACTGGTATTTTAATCTGCTAGGATCTCATATATATTTATTTGTTTGCTTTTTTGTTGATTTTGCTATGAATTCTTCTGCTGTATCTTATTAGTTATGGGAATTCCAGAAAAGAGAGTATGGCAATGGCAGCCTACTGGTAGCTCCAGAATTTTGGTTTTAAAATTTAGTGTGGGAGTGTTTTATTCTAATGTAAATCTCATGTCATGAGCTTTTTTCCACACTAACATGTATAATTGAGAGCCTTTTTTTGTGCATCTGAGTGCTTGTGTTCATTTGGAAAGATTAAGGCCAACAAATTTTCACGTTTTTAGTATAGTGGGAGGTTACATTCATTGCTTTTCCTATTTTAAGCAAATGCCATTATGTACAATTAGCTAACTAGGCAGTTTTTTTTTTGTAATTTTTGGATAAAAAAATGTTTATACAAGATTTTCCTGCCTCTCTTCCCACCTAACTTCATATTCTTTATCTCAAAATGAAACAAAAAACATAACAAATGGGACAAGCATGGATTGGTGCAAGAAAAAGAGTAAGAGAAGAAAAAGATACTTAAACAAAATACTGATAAAAGCACATAAAAACATGATGTCCATTTTGTGTTAGCCAGCTGTTTCTGAGTATGGGGCCTGTCCTGCAATGTGGTTTATATACCTAATTTCACTTCCTTGGAATAAACAACTGATTTTCTCATTCCTAACAGGAATGAATTGCAAATAGTTTCTTATATAGGGGTGAGACTTTGTGCCTATTTCCTTTCCCCTATGCTGGGATTTTTTCTGGCTTGAATGTGTGTAGGTCTTATGTGTGCTATCACACTTTCTAAGTTCATAATGTACATCAGGATTGTGTCTGGAAAATGCTGTTTCCTTGGAGTTATCTGACTCTTGAGTTGTTCTGCCTACTCTTCCACACAGACTCTGACCCTTGAAGTGAGAGGTTTGAAAAAAAACACCTCTTTGCTTGTTGTGCAACTCTTGGACATCAGAGAAACCACAATACCTTCCCTAAAGATAGATGCGTATTATCACAGAACCTTTCTCTTTGAGGCACTAATATCAGTAAAGCCACATACATTTAAAAGCATTGTTTGCCATGTCTTCAAGACATTTTTGAGTGTGATATAACAGAAATATGCCTTCTAACCTACGTGAAAAGTTGTGTGTGTGTGTGTGTCTCCTGTTTCTTGGGAGCCCTTGATGTGAGTCAACATATGATTGAGGATCTATATCTTGCTTTTAATGCTATTTGTGTTGGCACTTTGTCTAGCAATAAACTGCTGTATATAAGCCAAAAAAATAAAAGGAATAAAAAAAAAGAAAAGAAAACACATCACATGTAGAGCTGAATCCTTCAAAATCTTTCACTTCCGTATGTTTACAATTTGTATCTGTTTATTACCATCTATTGCAAAAAGAAACTTCTCTCTAATGAGAATTGTGGAATGCACTGATCTATGAGTGTAGTAGTATGTCATTAGGAGTTGTTTTATCGCTGTGTTCATGTATCAGAATAATAGTAGTAGGTTTTCCCCTTGACTCAGGTTCTGGGCTACTTGAGCAGAGCCAAGTATGGGTTCTGTCTCATGGAGTAGGTCTTAAATCCAATGTTAAAAAGTGGTTGGTTACTCTAATAACATTTGTACTGTCATTGTACTAGTATATTTTGTAAGTGTGTCATTGTAACTTGCCGTGCTCAAAGCTAGATAATAGTGATGATTCTACTCTGCTAGTGTGCATAGACCTTCCAGCTCCACAAACACGAATCAGTAGGTGTGAAGCTTCTCATCATTTTCAGTTTTTGCAATACTGGTGAAAAATATTTAAATCTATGTATATTTTTACTTCTATTTTCATCATTTTTAAAATAGCAAGAAATCTGTCAGAAATCTGTCAGCATTTTTAAGTAGACTTTATTATGTAAAACAATAAGAAAAACTGGTATTCCGTTGAAGAAAATGCCTTTTTAAATAGGAATACAAGGACGAAACTGTTAAACTCAGAGGAAGTAATACTAACAACGAGGTCGATGGACTAAGTGCAGGTGAGTTTTAATTGTGAATATGGATGTTTTTCTCACCTAAGATAATTCTGTTTTGAGTTTTGTAATATATAAATATTTAGGTTCTATTTTTCTAAAGAATGTTGTGAGGACTGGTAATTAGAAAAGTTTTTGTCAAAGTAATTGATTTGGTTATTCGTATAAAAATAGTTAGAAAGGTTAGAGAAAATGTTTTTGAGAGAAAAATTTCTCTAAAGAACAATTTAAAGAAAAGAATAATATTTTGTTTCAGAACTTCATTGTGTTTGAAAGCTAGAAAGAAATTAGAACCAACTCTGAAATCAAAGAAGGGAAGATATCTGTGATCTTAGCAGTCATGACCTTTGTACTTTAATTTTTGAAGCCAGGTTGAAGCAGAGCAAGGCTAAAAATATTGTAGATTAGTGTGAAGAACAATAAGGGATAGAAAACATTCTTTGAGAGTAGAATTGAGTATAATTTTTGCATTTTTTGTGGTAAGATATTTGGATATAGGGGTTAGAATTGTCCATAAGCTTATGGGAGAAAATGAGAACTCAAGAATAATTACATAAGTTAGCATTCTTAAGCTTTATAGAATACATAAGCAAGTGGGTGGTGGGTGAGAGGTAGGAAAATTGATTTAATAGATAATGGCATTAAATTTTCATTGAAAAGTAATGAAGTGCTCTGGGAAGAAAATGAATTTGAATTTAGGCCAACATAGTATATTACAGAACCTGGGAGGACTAAACAGTGATAAAGAAGACTGCTAATATATTTGAAAACATAAATTCATATTAGTATTTTATTAGGGTCTATTAGTGTCTGTTTACCCTTCTCCCTATGTACATGTGTGTGGGGGTGTGAATGTATAGTTTTTGATTTTTTTGCTTGGTTTTTTTTTTTTTTTTACTGCAGAAGTAAATTCAGCCTCTGGGTTGGTCACTGACTATGCAAAAAGACATTTTTATTGATTCATAAAAAATTGAAGTTATATCCCAGTGAGAAAATACGAGTTTAGGAAAAATGCGTAAAGAGTACCAGGAGCTTGAAAGGAGTAAAGCTATTAAAGCTCAATGTTGATTATGAAAAACCTAAGCTTTTCGGAGAGATGGTGCTATTTTAAAACAGCTTGTTTATTCTGTGTGTTTCTTTGAAATAGAGCCATCCAGATGTGGCGGAGAACCCGTTATTTCAGATATTCAGGAGATGAATACGTTTCTCGTATCAGAAGTGTCTAGCTTTTGCCCTAAAAGGTAAAGTGTTGGGGTATAGCTACATGGCATGTTTGCTATACTCTTCCTTGGGGTGGAGTTCAAGATGGGGTTTCTCTGTGTAGCTTTGGAGCCTGTTTTGGAATTCTCACTGTAGACTAGGCTGACCTTTAACTCACAGAGATCCACCTGCCTCTGCGGTCCGAGTGCTGAGATTAAAGGTATGCGCCACAACTAACTGCCTGGCCACTTGGTGATTTTTTTTTTTTTGACCTAGACTTTCTTATGAAACATTAAGAGTTTTCCTTTAACTTTTGGGAATGCAGAAAGGAAGACTTTTTGAAGGATGTGTTTGGAGGTTTTAACACAGCTTTCTTTGCTTTGTTCAAAAAAATATTTGTGAAGCATTAACACAGACTAGAATCTAGGGAGAATTTGGATAAAAGATATCATTCCTGTTTGATAATATGTTGAATCGCTTGACTTTATAAATTTCATTTACCCTCTCAACTAGGTGTAGGTACCAGACTTTTGTTATATAGTGTTTTCTCCCATCAGTGTACATGGATGTGATTTTGTGTCTAAGTCTCCACTAGTAATTTCTCAGCAGCAGTCACAAAATATGGTGGTATACTTGATGATTCTGTCATTAATCCCCTCATGAACTGAACTCAAAGTCATTACTTATTAGTTTTCTTTTTATTTAAATTTTTTTCATTTTATTATTTATTATTACACATAAGTGCATGGCTATTGTATGTCTGTGTGCCACATGCATACCCAGTGCTCAAGGAAACCAGAAGAAGGCATCGAATCTCTTGGAACTGAAGTTACTGACCTATATGAGCCGCCATGTGTGGGAAATTGAACCTAGGTCTTCTGGAAGACGAGCCAGCTCTTAAGCTCTGAATTTAGCCTCATTTTCCTCTTATGTAAATGCCAAATCTTATATCTAAACTAGTCATAAGCCTGTGTAATATAGCACTGTTGGGTAGACTAGATCAGAAAAAAGGAAATAAATAAATAACAAGGAAAATATGTACAAACAGCAGCCATAATATGTACTATAGCCAATACAAACATGCTTACTCTTCAGAATGATAGTATTTTTATGTCTTTTGTATATAGTTACGTTTATACTATCTAGTTGGTTTTATTCTTATCCCCATTTTCCAAGTGAGGAAACAGACATAGTTCAGTGATTTGCATGAAGTCATAACAAGTTACTAGTAAAATGAGGATTAGAATCTTGGTAGTCTAATTCCCAAGTCCTTTGTTCTTAAATGCTTACTACACAAAGTTTATGAAATAATCATGTTTTCCCTTTTCTTTGATAAGAGTTGGATTTTTTCCCCTTATTCCATTTTAAAAAGCCTCTATCAAGATTTTCTCTATTGGTTTATATTATACATACTGGTAGGCTTCATAAAGACATTATTTTCAGTACCAGATACCTTGGCTATATTCATCCTCCATCTGCTGTTTTTCACCTCCCTCTAATCTCCTTTCTTCCAATATCTCTTTTGCTTTGATGTTATATAAATATGTGTGGAGAATTTTGAGTATATATAGCTTTATGTATCTTTGTTCAATTTAAGTTCCACAAAATGAGCAAAAACATTTACTTGCCTGAGTCTGGCTTATTCTTGTCATTTTCTTGTCACGATTCATTTTTCTTTATGGCTAACACCGTACTGTGTAGATGTAACATGTTTTTCTTTATTAATTTGGCTGTTGATGGGACATCCACACTAGGTGCATTCTTTAGCTCCTGTAAATAACGCAACAATAAGCACTGATGTGCTTGCATCTCCATAGTGTCTTAACTCAGTTTTTTGGGTATATATGCAGCAGTGGTATACCTGGACCATGCAGTAGTTCTGTTTTTAGCTTTTCGATGACCCATTATGACTTCAAAAATGGCTACACTAGTTTACAGTCTCAGAACAACACACAGGCACTCATTTTCCTTGCATCTCCATCAGCATTTATTTGTTTTGTTTTTCCTATCTTTTTTTTTAAATTCCTTATTCTTGAGAATTTCATACATGCACACAGTGAAATATACATGCCCCCTTTTTATTCCTTGTGGGAATTGAATTCCCTCCTCAGTCTGTCCTTCCTCCTTCTCCTCTTCTTCTTTTCCTTCTCCCCTCCCCCTTCTTCCTCCTCTTCTTGATAAACGACTAAGTCTGGTTAGTACTGCCCATAGGTTCATTGGTTTGGGAATATCTATTGGAGGATAAAAGACCTAACAGTAGCCACAATCTCAAAAAAGAATGGTTCCCTTTCTTCTAGCAATTATCAGCTTCTAGTAGCTCCTCTGATAGGGGTAGGGCCTGGAGAAAATGTCAACCTATGTCAAGGTTTTGACTGTCCTTATTGTGTGCCTGTAACCACAGTTGCAATGAGTTCATGAATTTGATAGCTGTGTCATGTCCTCTCCATCTACCAGCTCATTGTTTTTACCTCCTCTTTTCCAACATTTCATGAACTTTATTGGAGCATAGGGGATGACAGAAGTCCTTAATCAGGGACATTAAAGCTGAACCCTTAGTCTCTTTTTTTTAGCACTTTGATCAATTGTAAATGTCTGCATTGACTTTAATCCACTGCAAAAAGAAGTTTCCCTCACTGAGATTAAGAACATCCCAAGACTATCGGTGTAAATAGATATTTAGAAGGTAATTTGACAATATGCCCTTTAGCAAAACAACATTAATAGATTCTACCTTAGGGCCTTTGAACTTCCCAGCCAGAGGCTTTTGATCAAGATTACATTCCCTCTCCAGATCTACCAGTATCCACTAATTCAGCAGGGAGGAATAGGTCTCCTTGAACTCCTCCCGTATGATGACTGACTATTGAGAGGGCTAGTGCAGACCCATTGAATCTACCTATCTCTCTGAAGCCATTTGTATACATTCACTTGTTTGTAATCACTTACTGCATGCAGGTGCCGACTGTCTCAGAGTGGTCACTTGTGTCTATACAGGTGATTTTCTTTATGTGGTCCCATACCTGAGTATAGGTACAGAATATTTCTGAGTCAACACTTGTATGAGTGTAGGTAACCATCCAATCTCTACACTGTTAAATGTTTTCTTTGCTATTTGGGTTGGTGTTTTCTGATGATAGGAGAAGTTTTGTGATATTAAGTGCTTCCTATGTTGGTTGATCTTTGTTTTGTTTGCCTTGTATCCAGAGGTTGTGCTTTGTGGGCATTGTAACTATAGAAATCTGTCAGTCTGTAGACACCAGAAAGGGATGTCAGCAGGGTTTCCAGTGGCAGGTGCCCTAGTTAACTTTTTTTTTAAATTTTTCCATTCAAAACTTTACACTTCCTCCCCTTCTCCCATTTCCCTCTCACTCCTTCACTCCCCCTCCTCCCTCTTCCTCCTCCTCAAGGGAATCCTGCCCTGTGGGAAGTCCAACCCCCCTCCCCCCAAATCCAGGCCTAGGAATCTTTGCATCCCAATAGACTAGGGTCCCAAAAAGCCAGTACCTGCAGTAGAAACAAGTCCCAGTGCCTTTATCAATGGCTTCTCAGTCATCCCCCATTTTCAGCCAAATTCAGAAAGTCTGGTTTGATCACATGCTCATTCAGTCCTGGTCCAGCTGGATTTGGTGAGCTCCCATTAGATCAGGCACACTGTCTCAGTGGGTGAACCAACCCCTCACAGTCCAGACTTCCTTTCTCGTCTTTTCCCTCCTTCTGCTCTTCAACTGGACCTTGGGAGCTCAGTCCTTGCTCTGTTGAGGGACTTTGTCTCTATCTCCATCAGTCGCCTGATGAAGATTCTATGGTGATATTCGAGATAATCATCAGTGTGATAGCGGGGCAAGGCCAATTCAGGTACCCTCTACTCTGCTGACCAAGGACCTAGCTGGGGACATTCCCGTGGACACCTAGGATCCCCTCTAGAACCACATGTCCTTCTCTTGAAGAACTAGTGAATCTTACTCTAGTCCATTGTTCAGACCCTGCGTGCTCTTATTTGGAGTCCCAACTCCCACTGAGTGTTTCTTTCTGGCTGGGTGGTCAGGGAGGAACAAGCAATCCTTCCCCCAACAAAGTGTTTGCATTTCAGGACTCAGAATATTCCCATGACCCTTGTCCTGGGCCATACAGAATGGAGCTTTGCATCTATTACTGCCAAGTTGCTAGCAAAGCAAAGGTCTTTTTAAATGACTAGATTGATAACCTCTGCTCCAGCCAAATACTGAATATGAACTTAGAATATGTGCTCCCAAATTATTGTCTGGTTGAACTGTAAATCTTCTCAGTGATGTGACTGCTATCAATGTACTTTCTATAAAGGCTTATTTTATGTTTTGTTTTTTGATTCTGCCTATCTCTGATGATTTGTACAGACGTTATACAAATTGGCTGTACAGATGTCTGCCCTCCTTCCTTTATTTTTCTTTCCTACATTATCTTGTACTGAGAGTAGGACTGTCTGAAGGTCTGTTTGTCCTAAGCTGGGGTCCTCATCCTGTCTAATTGTTCCCAGTCCTCTTTAAAGAACAGAGAATTCCCCAGTTGGGACTTGAGTACTTTAGAATCAACTGTGGCCATTCCTGTTCTGTTTACTCCTTATTTCTTTGCTACTGGAGCTAGTGTTTTCCTGTCATCACTCCCCTCACCGGACAAGTGGTTTACTTCCTTGTGAATTTAACAGATGGTTGTCATCTGCCATCTCTTTTTGGTTCTAATGTTCCCTCAATGTTTTAGTTGAACTGCCGAATACTGAACTCTATGTGAATGGCTTTTCAGATGTAATCTTAGTGGTACTAGATTTTACAAATGCATAAGAGGAAAAACAACTTTTAGCATATTTGACTTTTGCTTGGCAAATCAGAGACTTTTTTGAAAGAAGTTTTAAAAAATGAATTGCAGTTAAACAGCTTCTGTATTGAATGTGTTAAACATATTGCTTTACTACATTTTATTTTGCATCTTTCAATTTCAGAAGAAAAATTTCTGTTGAGTACACCGAAAGCAGTGATTTAGAGAAAATTGAAACTAGTGAACTGGCAAAGAAAATGAAAGGTAATACGACATGGTTTGACTCTGTCATTTATTCTAATCTCCTGGTGTGTCCATCTTTTATTTATTTATTTGTTCATTTGTTTATTTGTTTATTTATTTATTTATATTTTAGGTTAGCAAAAAGTACTAAAAGTAGAGTAAAAGGTAAGTGTATATTACATCACAGTATTTACATAATCTGCATGTGAAGATTTTAACGGCAAATCAATCCCACACCAGTTATGTTTTAAGGGGTTATTTATTTGGGGGGGTAAAACTTACATACACCATAAACCGTCAGGAAGCCGGGAGCAGATCTGTGGCTCTTTTTGAAAGAGAAATATACCACACCCCAGTGGGCTGGTATTTCAGTGGCTGTTGACTGACGGAGTGGAAGGCCCTCCCGCAGCACTGTGGGCTCGTGCTTCAGTGACTATTGGCTGAAGCAGCGGAAGATACTCCCACAGCAAGATTTTAAAAATGAAGCAATCATTAACTGACATCTTGTTAGTTTGAAAGGTTTTCATCAATAGTATAAAATTTGGCTGCTTTTGAACTCTTTCCTGCATTTTGAACTTCATGTGTTAATGAATTAAGTGATTTAAATTCAACGAATAATTTCAAGTTAAAAATCTAGTGCTGAATATTTAATCCAACTTTAAACAAAACAATCATTGTCTTCTACTTATAATATCTTGTATAATACATTGTATATTTACACAGGTGTGTTTAAGCATGTACACACAGATGCACACACGCATACAAGTAATGAACAGGTTTGCAGTGCCTTCTTGGCAACATTCACATTATGCACATATAAAAGGATGAGTACCATTTATTTCCTTTATCTTTATGACATTCCTTATTTTCCTATTAATTCAAATCCTATTGTCTTTCTGGTTAGCTGAGAAATACATTTGGAAAACAGCTTATCACCATTGGACTGATGTGAAATTTTTCAGCTTCATACTGAAACAGCTTTCTTTCCTGAGAGTTGAATCTGTTTACATTTATCTGTTCCTACTTTCTCTTCTTTTAAGAGAAGTAACTGCTGGGGTGTAATTACATCATATCTTTGAGCTATAGACCTACACTTAGTGTCATAAATGGCATTGTTATTTACCAAATACTATTTTTATTTAATAATATAATCTTCCAAGTTGTAGAATATAGAAGGTTCTCAAGGAGGCAAAGTAAAGAATTTTTATAATTCTGTGATTTTTTTTCTTCTTATTAGGATCATCTAAAGTTAAAGAAGATACAACATTTGCTAATGCACTTACTTCATCTGCCCCTGTAACAAAGAAGAAAATGTTGAAAAGGGGTCAGTAAGTCCAGTTTTCCACTCCCCCCACCCTGTTTTGTTCTAGTAAAGGAGCAGAGTCATTTATAATTGATTAACATGGATGAATTTAAAGACCTAAATTTTAGTATGATTATGATTTGCCTTTCATTTAAAAATGTCAGTGAGCTTTATTATAATTTTTATTTTATTCATAGAAAAACAACATTGATTTATGAATATGATGGAAATAGAATTAAGGATAGATGTCTGAGAGAATTATATCTCTGTGCCTTGGTTTCCATATATAGCACAAAATCTTATTTCTATGGTTTATTGGGCAATCATGGGAATGCAATGAATAAAAAATTTTTGATGTTAAGTGACACAAGACGATAAAAAAATATGGTGATATAAAAGTAGACTTGCATGTAGTCTGTTTAAAAATGATATATTTTACCCAGAGAGGCTAGGTAACAAGAAGGGCCTAAGGGGGGACACTTGGATCTCCCAGCGAAGGGGAAATGGAGGAGATCTGGTTGGACTATGGGGTAGATGGGCGTATGAATTTGAGGGATCGAGTTGGGAGGTGAGTAAAAGGGAGAGTTTTGAGAAAGATGACTGGAAATGGAGACTTTATGGAGTCCAGTAGAAGCTTGATACAAAAGAAACTTCCATGAGTCTACAAGAATGGCCCCAGCTAAAGCTCCTGGCAGCAGTGGGTGAATAGCCTGAATGGGCCATCACCTGTGACAACCCAGGTTGTCATCAGAGAGCCTTCATCCAGTGGCTGAATGGGGCAGATTTATAGACATGAGTCAAACATTAGGCAGAATTTGGGAGTTCTGCTGAGGAGAGGGAGGAGGGATTGTATGAGCCCGGGGGGGGAATCAGGGACATCAGAAAACCCCAGAAACAGCTAGTTTGGCTGAAGGGAATTCACAGAATCTGAACAAACAACTAGGGGCCTGCATGGGACCAACACAGGCTCTCTGCATATATTCGACAGTTTTTAGCTTGGTTTGTTTGTTTGTTGGACCCCGGCAATGGGAGCAGGGCTGTTGCTGGTACTTTTGGCTGGCTCATGGGAACCTATTCTTCATGCTGAATTCCCTTGTCCAGCCTGAATACAAGGGGAAGTGCTTGTTCTTAGTGCAGCTTGATATGCAATGTTGTGCTGATGCTCAGGGGAGGCCTACTCCTTTCTGAGAGAATATGGAGGAAGGGTAGATCCAGGTGGGGGGACACGACAGAAAGAAAGTGGGGGGAGGGAGTGGGAAGGGATGGTATGGTCTGGATATAAAGTAAATTAATTAATAAAAAAAGGTATATTTTGAACCTGGATGGCTTAGGGGTTAAGAATACATACTACTTTTTTAGAGGGCCCAGATTCAGTTCCTAGCACCTATGGATAGCTCACAAATGCTTTTAACCCCAGCTCCACGGGATATAGCTACTTCTTTCTGACCTCTTCAGGTGCACACACACACACACTTTCACACATCATATGCACACATATAATGAAACTTAAATCTAGGAAAAATTAATTAGGGAGAGAAAAATCCATCCTGAACATAGGCAGTTCCATTCCATGGGCTGGTTCTGGACTTAATAAGGAGAAAGGGAGCTGCACATTTGTTTTTCTGTACGTCCTGCCTTTAGATGTAGCCGCCTCATGCTTCTGCTGCTATTACTTGCCCTCTATAATGGGCATTATATTCTTGGTTTTAAGGCCCAAATAATTTCTTTATTTACTTTTGTAAATTTCTTTATTTACTTTTTATTTTTGTGTGGAAGATTTTGAAGCTACAGACTACAGACATTCTTTAGACAAGAGACTAGTGGGCCATTTTGGTGGGAAATTGGAAGATCAGAATTCTGAGAGACGTGAGAATAGAAGGGAATTGGCCCATCAGCTTTCAAAGGACTCTCTTGTGAACTGGGCTAGCGGCTTTTTGTGTTTTATTCTGGCAAAGAATCTGACTTCTTTCAGTCTGTGACTTAACCGCTTGGATGTGGCTGAATTAAACAGCATTGATTGACTGATTATTTGGCACAGTGATTTTAAGAAAGGATAACATTTAGGCTGTGTGATGGTTACTGCTCACTGCTCTTACACAGGTTGACAGAAAACTGCAAGAGGGGCAGAAAGGTAAGACAAACGTGCAGCTTGGCAAGGAAGGAGTAAGAATTTATAGTTGAGGACAGCAGAGATATGGAGAGAGGGACTATAATTGTTACAGAGATTAGCAGCATTGAAGAAGAACTTTGCAGCTGTACTGGGATACGAGAAGTACACAGAGGGCAAGACCTTACCCATTGAAGGCTTCAGTTTGTAACAGGGCAGGTGAATTTAAAAGGAGAGAGCCAAGACACAATGCCACTGAAGGCGTTCTCTGCTCCACAGCTGCCACCCAGAGTAGTGTTTGCTCAGGGTCAGCCTTAAAAGTACACAGAAGTGGTTGCAGCTTTGATCCAAGGGATCAAGCTACATTTTGAGCTGACTACGTAACTTGGAAGTATTGTCCATATGATGCATAAGGAAAGGTTCGTGGAGGCATGGCAAGGTTTCAAAAGCTACTGAGGCTGGAAAGTGTATCGAAGGGCCAGACATCTGGGAGGGAGGTGTGGGAGGCCTGTATGGCCTTGGATAGAGTGGAAGTCCAAGATGTTGGAGATACTACAACCTTAGGATGTTTGTGAGAAAAGCTATAGGGGCTCACAGTTAAGAAATTTGTCTGAGTTTCACAAGAACCTTTGAACTATTGAACAGTCCTGGGGCTATCAAAAAGTCTATGAGGAATTTTAGAAGTGAAATTAAATGCATTTTGAGATGAGCATGAAAGTTCAGGGGCCAGGGTGCAGTGTTATGACTTAAAGTGATGTGCTTGTATGTCAAATTGACAGGAGATGGAATTGTGATAGTTAATCTTTGTCAGTTTGCTTGGGGTTAGAATCACCATAGAAATACCCCTGGTGTGTCTATGAGGGTGTTTCTGGGAAAGTTTAGCTGAAGAGGGACAGCTGCTCCAGTTGTCCTGTTACGGTTCTCTGATTTTTCCTGATAAATAATTACTACTTAATTGTTGGCTGTCTGTCTGTCTATCTATCTATCTATCTATCTATCTATCTATCTATCTATCTATCTATTTATTATTTACTGTGACAGGGTTTTTCTGTGTAGCTTTGGATGCCCTGGAACTCCCTCTGTAGACCAGGCTGCCCCCAAATCATAGAGATCTGTCTGCTGTCCCCCCACCCCCACCCCGTGCCTATTTTCTCATTTTCAATTCTTCTGGATTTCTGTCTTCATAGATGATGATTGTTAGGACTGTATTGAGATGAATACCTCAGTATTTAAGAAAACAGGTAAAATCTACCAACTCCTTGTTCTTTTAGGAGCATCTGTGATGAAGGGGTTAAAGAAATGTGACACTGGAGAGAGGTCAAGAGCAACACTGATCATCTGTCCACTTTCTGTGCTGAGCAATTGGATTGTAAGTCTAATGCCTGTCTGCTTAAAGTGGGATATCATATTTGTCTGTAAGAAAGGATCATTAGGAATACATATGACCTTCATTTCACTTTATGACTGTTAAGTGAATTATGTTTGCTGAACTGAGTGCTTTTTCTTTGAAGAATTGTATGATTAACTTACTAATTGCTAATGTAGACTTTGATTTGCACTTTTGTTCCTTTCATTCTTGTTCCAAGAGGGACATGCTTATAATTTAATACTCTTATTATATTTAAAAATTGAATTTGGGAATTGTGAGAATTTTACTAATAGTAACCTGTAATATAAAACAATGCATAGCATCACATGTGTTCCTGTCTGCTTGGTTTGGTCTGAATTTCTTTTCATAGATTTTTCTCATTTAATCCTCACCATTTTCAGTTTCCAGCTGACCAAATTGAGAGGTTAAATAACTTGACTAAGACCATCCAGTCAAGTACACCAGAGAGCTCAATGTGGAAAACATTTTGACCCGAGAGTTTCTTGTTTTAAGGCTAAAAAAACCAGAAAGGCATGTTTTTTCTCCCTGCAGATTGTTTTCCTTTTTAAGACTATTTCATTGGAATAGGATCTCTGTATGTTACTTGTAAGAAGCATCCTGTTTTTATGTCCTTGCTTCATTTTGTAGTGAAATAGGATTATTTTGGAAGCATTTGAACATAAATGTCACTGAATGTGAGCTTTCATTCTTGCTTTCTTCAAGGTATCTGTCTCCTGTTCTGTCCTGTCTCAGGAAGAGGAAGTTCTGCTCTTTATAAGACAATTGCTTTAATTTGTCTTATTCCATTTTCCCCACTTCATTTCTCTGTTCTTTTCCACCATCTCTTGGTTATTCACTCTAGGTTTTTCATGAAAAATATTCAGGTCTTCATTTTATATACTTTCTTTTGATTATGTCTCACCTCCAAATTATTGCATTCCTTCCCTGGTATAGATAAGCTCTTGGAGATTGATGTCTTCTTTATGCTCTTACTCACTGCATTGGCTTCTGCTTCCGGTTGTCAGAATTACATTGGGATATCCCAGGTTACTCATCATACCTGATCTCTTCTTTTTGATATTATATTCCTCTTTTCTTCTTAATATTTATTTTTTTTCTTAATTACTTCTTAGGCTTAATTGACTTAATGCATTTCTTCTTCACATTATCTTCTTTTCCCCTCTACAGCATTACATCATTTTGTTTTAGTTTATTTATTTTAAAATAAATTATTCCTTCTCCTGACTTTCTGATGTGGGATTTCCCTCTGTATGCTGTGAATACCATGGTTGATAAAGAAACTGGCTTGGCCTGGTAGGGTAGAGTAGAGCTAGGTGGGGAAAACTAAACTGCATGCGTGGAGAAAGAAGGTGGAGTTGGAGAAGCTGTGGAGCCACCGCTAGAGACAGACATGCTGAAACCTTATCGGTAGGTCACAAGCCTCATGGTAAAATGTAAAATAATGGAGATGGGTTAATTCTAGATGTAAGAGCTAGCTAGCAATACACTTAAGTAATTGATCAAACAGTGATTTAACTAATACAGTTTCTGTGTGGTTATTTTGGGAGTCTGAGCAGCTGGGAAACAAACAACATATGTATCATTTTTCTCTTGAGGCATATGGGTTGTGGTATTTTTCCCCCCTGTCTATTTTTGTTCCAGTAAAACTATGGTCTTTCTTTAGATGTGTGGTTTACCTTGGCAAGAGCTATAAGTGCATGCTTAAATGGAAGGTTCAAGGTGAAACTTAGAAATACTGATAGAGACTCATAGTTCCTAAAGACTTGGTATCTGCAGATGTGTTTTTAAAATGGTCAGCTAAGGGGCATAGATCTGTGGTAGACTGCTTGCCCAGCATGGCCAGTACCACATGCAAAACAAGATGAAAATAGATTACTAGATAGATATAAAATTGGTAATCATATTTCATATTTTAAAAACCTTAAGTTTAAGTAATGTAAACTTAGAAAGGAAACTCTGGCAAATAAAACTCTTTAAAAATTTAAAGCAATAATGGACATTTATTATTGTATATTATAATAATCATATAGAACAGTGTTTGTCAACTTTGCTAATGCTGTGACTCTTTAATCTAGTTCCTTATGTTGTGTTGACCTTCAATCACAAAATTATTTTTGCTGCTACTTCATAACTGTAATTTTGATCTTGTTATGAATCATAATATATTTTCAAATGGTCTTAAGTGACCCCTGAGAAAGGGTCATTCAATTCCCAAAGGGGTCATAACCCCCAAATTGAGAGCTTTCTTTCATTCTCAGTTTTATTCTTTTCATAAATATATATTGTTTCATTTCATTGCCACCCATTTGTTTCAGATTTTTTAATTAAAAATTCACTCTCAAATTGAATTTCTTTTCTACCAGGTTATAAAAAATATTCTCTGTGTTTTTATCTTTATTTCAGTTTCTCCCTAACTTTACATATTTTGGCTTTTTTATTTTATGTGTATTTCTTTAGTTTATTTAATCTGTTGTTGAGTCTCATTTGCTATGGAAACTCCCTTTGGGGAAACCTTTGACTCCCATTGTTGTATGTTCTTGAGCTACAACTTTTTCCTCTCATGCTGGAGAATACTTTGCACTTTTTAAAATGTCACCTGGAGTCACTGTGTATAGAAAGTGTTGTGAATTTTAGGTGAGCACTTCACCTCATTTCCTTCCTGAGCTCTGCTATTCTTTGTCTTCTGGATCTCATCCTCTTTGTTCTTCTGACTTTCTGACCACCACTGCTTGGCTTCTGACTCATATACAGTTGTTCTTAGGAGCTCTAGAGTTCTGAGGCAAAGCTGGGTTACATAGCGATCCTAAAAGAAAAAAAAATAATTATAAAAAAACTTAATGAGATATTTATTTACTTAGGAAGACCCAGGAGTTACCAGAGTGCAGTCATCTTTGCTTTACTCTTTTCTCCACTGGAGTACTATAACCTTAACTTAGAAAGCATAGTGTGGTTCTTTATTGTTGGCAGGCTCAATCCTCGAACACTTTTTCTTATTGTACATGTTCTCTTTAAAGATACTTAAAGACATCTTCCTAGTTATATGTATTATTTAACTGTAACTTTAAAATGCATGTATACATCTCTTACTTGCACCTGTACGCTAATGTTTATGTTCTGTGCTCTACTCTATGTTGTCTATAGTAGTGGTTTTCAACCTGTGGATTGAGACCCCTTTGGCAAACCTCTGTCTCCAAAAACATTTATACTATGATTTATAACAGCACCAAAATTACAGTTATGAAGTAGCAACAAAAGTAATTTTATAATTGGGGGTCATCATAACACGAACTGTGTTAAAGGGCCGCAGTTAGTAAGGCTGAGAACCACTGGTCTATAGTGACCAAATATCATAAATAATTTTCTTTCTCACTTTTTTCCTCTTGGAGTAAATTTCTCTATATATCACTCAGTTCTTCCAGGCAGTCATCTGAAGTATCAGGACAACACTGTCTTCTCTCTTTTCCTCATTGCCTATTCTTAAGTCCTATGTCCAAGCTTCCTTCCTGTTAACTTCTTTCTCTCATACATATCCTTTCCATTATTTTCAAGATTTTGCTATTCTGGTCTAAGAGCGTCGGTTCCCACCTTTAAGAATTTGGCAGCTCTATCTCCATGGCATCTCCTCGTTAGTCCAGTCTCATCCTTTTCTTCCCTCCCTCCCTCCCTGCCCGCTTTCTTCCTTCCTTCCTTTCTTCCTTTTCTTGCTCAAAATTATCTAAGTCTGTTGTTTACAAAGAAGGTTGTTGGACTTTTAACTTAAGATTAAAGACATGCTAGATATACCTTTAATTCAAGTGTTTGAGAGTCAGAGGCAGGAGGATGATGAGTTTGAGACTAGCCTCGCTACATACAATGGCTATATAAACAGACTATATAAATGAAATGCCTGCTCATTGGTAGGAAAGGCTAATATGTATAACGTTTTATATGTTTATCAGTTTTACGATTTGACACAATATGATACTTATTAATGTAGTTATCATTACACTTTAATTTTATATTGTAGAATGACTGATTTATGATATTCCTGCTGGCACAGCTCTTTGATATACATGCTTGTTGTCTGAGATTTCTGTCCTGCCTGGTTCCTGCAGTCGTTAAGTCCCAAAGAATGACACAGAGGTCTACATTAGTTATAAATCTATTGGCCTAGTAGCTCAGGCTTCTTATTAACTATTATAACTTATATTAGCCCATTATTCTTGTCTATGTTAGCCATGGGGCTTTATACCTTTTTCAGTGAGGCAGTCACATCTTGCTTGCTCTGGGTCTGTATCATGCCCCACCTCTACTTCCTGCCTGGTCGCCCCACATATACTACCTGCCTGACTACTGGCCAATCAGCATTTTATTAAAAATAATAAGTGACAGGATAAAAGACCATGCTAAACTTGGTACTCATCTGCTTCTTACTAAAATATCTGTAATTTTCTTTTAGGACCAGTTTGGACAACATATAAAATCAGATGTGCCCTTGAATTTTTATGTTTACTATGGTCCTGACCGTATTAGAGATCCCGCCTTGCTTTCAAAACAGGATATTGTTTTGACTACTTACAATATTTTAACTCATGATTATGGAGTAAGTATGCAAATACATAAAACTTTAAAAGTATTATGTTTTAAAAATTGTGTGTGTCTGTGTGATAGTGAATGTTGGTGACTTTGGAGACCCCTGTAGCTGGCATTACAGATATTTCTGAGTCACTTGGTGTGGGTGCTAGGAATATATCTGGGGCCTTCTACAGGAGCAGCAAATGCTTCTAACCTCTAAATTGTCTCTCCAGACCTACCTAGAGAATTTTTAAAGGTTGAATTTAATTGCTCTCCACCATGCTTCTAAATTATTCCAAAATTCATAGTATTTGCTCTCCCCTTTCTCTGTTTTAAAATGATTAAGAATGTCTATAAGATAACACGTTGCAAAGAAGGGTTTTACACTTACTTGATATACTAATTTGAAAATGTATGTCATTTAGAACATTTTAGGTTAAAATTTTAAATTTGGATTATATCTAGTGTTTTATCACAATTTATATGCAAAAAGAACATTGTTTTTTTAATGATGAGTATTATCAGTTTGAGAATAAACCTTTTGTTTATAGTAGTCATTAATTAAGTTCTCAACTCTTCATGAGCCTGTTATTTTCCTTAACAATTCCAGTTATTTTGGACATACTATATAGTTAAAATCTTAATCTTCTAGAAAGAGCATTGTCATTTGTATAAAAGAAAGTAAGGTTGTGACACTGAAAAATTCCTTACAAGGGATGTTTTTTCTATCACTGAATTTGGTGCAAAATTGTTCTCTGTATTATACATGACTCAGCAGATTTCTTAGCTTGGAGTAGGAGCTAGCTGCTCCTTAGTGGTACTTTGAGAAACATATTTAGTATCTTGTTCTTTGGTGCTCTTAGTTGTAAAACGAATGTAATATTCTAGACTTGTGGGCTTCACTAACTGTCTTTGGAGTACTTAACAGTACCAGGTAACTAGTAAGCATTGATAGGAGAGATCAGAACTACTATTAGTTAACAAGCATTTAAGTAGATGTTATTTTACTGTGCCTCTATGTAATATGAAACCTCTGTTTCAGACTAAAGATGATAGTCCTTTACATAGCATAAAATGGCTAAGAGTAATTCTGGATGAAGGACATGCCATACGAAATCCAAATGCTCAACAAACAAAAGCTGTACTTGACTTAGAGGCAGAAAGAAGATGGGTATTGACAGGTAATTATAGCATTCCTTTTTTTCTTTTATATAAATTTTATGTGTCTGTATATTCATATGTATGTGGGCATATATATATGCAAGTGCACATCCAAATGTGTGTGCCTTCCTGTGGAAGCTTGATGTCTGTATCAGGTACCTTTTGGATCATTCTTTACCTGTTCACTGAGGCATGGTCTCTTAGTTGAATCCAGAGCTCACAATACTACTAGGCTAGCGATCCAGCTAACTTTGGGAATCCTATATTCATCCCAAGCACTGGCATTACAGGCAGGCTGCTATACACACACAGAATTTAAGTGGATTCTGTGGATCCAACTCCAGTCCCATCGTAGTTGTGTCCAAGCACTTTATCTGCTGAGCTACTTCGCAGCTCTCATTTTTTATTAGTTTTTTAATTGATACCTAAATATTATATTCATAACCTTAATGTGATAATGATAGTTCATTGTATCATATTCAAATTAGGATAATTATATGTTTCCTCATTTATTTTTATAGTAAAAGCATTCAAAATAATTTCTTCTAGCTTTTAGAATACGTATAGTGCATTATTTGTTTTTCTATTGTTAATATTACTACTGTGCAGTGTAACAGCAGAACTTATTTTTTCTGCCATGCTGTACCTTAATAACCATTGAGGAATCTTTCCCCTTCTTTCTCCTCCACTTTTCTTCTCAGCCTCTGGTAACCACTATTTTCTTTCAGTCTCTAAGAGGTCAATTTCATTTTTTCTTTTTTAATTACGTGTGTGTGTTTAGATTAGAGGACATGTGTAGATTAGATGACAACCTTGGTGATTAGTCTTCACCTGTCTCTTTGCTTGAGATAGAGCTTACAGCATATGCCATATTAGCTGGTCTGTGAGCATCCAGGAATTCTCCTGTCTCTGCCTCTCACCTTGTTGTTGGATCCCTGAGTTCACAAATGCACGCTGTTACGTCTACCATTATATGATTCCTGGGCATTTGAATGAATTAAAAGATGTCAGATAAAAAGTCAACATCCAAACGTTGCTACTGTTTTTATATACCAGTGATGACCATAGTTTTACAAAGTAGTGTTACTAAAGATTATTTGCTGTTGCTCAAGTATAATCTTAGTTGTCAACAATTTCCTGAAATGTGTTGCTTTACTGTGTCAGATTTTTCCAGTACTATTTTGATGGTCAAATTAATGATTTATGTAAAGAGACAGACAAAAATCTATCAAGTAACAAACCTTTGAATCATGGATAATCCCCTTTTCTTGGTCCTCTCTTAGCTATTCTTTTCATTGTCTTAGGTGTGCCTACCCATAGAGGAAATGCATTCTACCATGGTTTCCATTTTGACCACTATTTTTTTCTTTAAAAACTTAGAAACGAGGAGATAAAGGGTGCACGAATGCTCAAACATAAGCATTGAGAAACTAGGGCTGTTAATCAGCACAGTGGTCTCCTCGATGGAGGAAATAAATACCTGTTTTCCACCAAGATGATTGGGAGTGGATGCTGTAAATAACCTGGTGATCTTTTCTGTAGAGCCAGACCTCACTTAAATCCCTCAGAATGTTTATTCTAAACTCTCCCTCCCTAGCCCTTTCTCTTTAGCTTTGTTTCACAGTTCATAAGAACCATCCTTGTAACATGAAGGACCTGCTTGTTTGTGTTTCTGTCCTGCCCAGCGCCCCCCAGCTGTTTAGTCCCAGAGAAAAATCACACTGAGATCTCTATAAGTTATAATGATGACTGGCCCATTAGGTCAGGCTTCTTACTGGCTAACTCTCACATCTTGATTAACCTATTTTTCTGATCTATGTTAGCCATGTGGCCCAGTACCTTTTTCAGTGGGGCAGATCACATCCTGCTGCATTGGTGGTCTGGACAGGAGAGAGGGAATCAACTTCCTCCTCCTCAGAATTCACCTACTCTCCTTGCATCATTTCCACTTCCTGTCTGGTTTTCCCGCCTATATCTCCTGCCTGGCCAATGAGCATTTTATTTAAAACATGATTGACAGAATACAGACGATTCTTCCGCACCACATCCTTACTAGAGATGTCACATTTGGTTTATAGCCTGCTGAACTCCATCTCTGTCAGAGACCACACCAGATCCTAGGTCCTTAAAGTTATAGAACCCATCTTCATGGTTACATGTATTTTGTAAAAGAGTTTCAATATAGTCACTCTTTAAGTTTCATTGTGCACGTGGGGGTGGGATGCTTGTTACCAGGAAACTGTTTTCCAAAATTATATTGTATTTAAATTTGTCTAAAATAAACCACCTGGTATCAGATTCCAGAAGTTTTGACCCAACACTAGCTAAGTCTTGCTGACCCAAATTTTATTCTTACCTCACCCTGGTTGTTTTCCTGCTGGCCATGGTGCTTGCAGGGACCCACATACACTAACACCAAATTATATGAAAAAGAAATCAAGACTGAGGAGATGGCTCAGTGGTCAGATGTTACCCATGTAACACCACCTGAGTTAGTGTGTGCCTAGTACAGTGGTCAATTTCAACTACGTTTTGTCTCATTGGGCCAGGGGAATATTCTGCCTAAAGAGCTATAACTCAGTGGTAGAGTTCTTACTTATCATGTGTGATCCCTAGCACCACAAAATCAATTTAATTTTTAAGAGTTATAATGGTTTCCTATTTTGTTTCTTTTCTTTTCTTTCTTTCTTTCTTTCTTTCTTTCTTTCTTTCTTTCTTTCTTTCTTTCTTTTTTTTTTTTATAGGTACTCCTATCCAAAATTCGTTAAATGACTTGTGGTCTCTACTGTCCTTTTTAAAACTTAAACCATTTATTGATAGAGAATGGTGGCATAGAACAATACAGCGTCCTGTTAAAACAGGAGATGAGGGAGGACTTAGGTAAGTAAGTTTATGACAGCAGATACAGGAGCTACAATTAGTGCAAACAATTGTCACTTCCATTACCATTTCATTTCACTTTTAACTGTAGTCTCCAAAACACATGAGTACCAGTGTCACTGCCTCGTAAAACTTAGTAACTTGTGTCTGGAGATATAAGATTTCTGTTTTGTGCACTTTTTCCCTATTAGCAAAACTGAAAGGAAAGGCAGACCTTTATATTGTCATTATTTGTGACGGTTACCATAAAACCATCACAAAAACATTTTACAGTGATAGAAAAAGTTATATCCTTTGATGGTTCACTATGCATTATATTTTGATAACTTACAATACTTTTTTAGAAGCATCTGGTTTGGTATATAGTATATAGTATACAGTGATCTCAAGATTTATGAACATTGCATATGGTTGATTTGAGTGGGTACAGATAAAGGCAGAGAAAGGGACAAAAACACTGATGGGTATTTTCCCACATACTTGGCTGCCCTGTTCCTAGGCACTGATCATCTCAGTAGGATCTGGTACTCAATGGTGGGTCATAGTGTTAGTATAAAGGGTGGCGGTCAGCATGGAAAAAGAAATAGAGACATAATAGAGAATTATGAAAAATACCAGAGTACATTCTCCAAGTAAAGATATATGATGTATATGTATTGAATATTTATTTTTGTTATGGGCAGATGCCATTAAAATGTTTCTGATTCTGAGTTAAAGTGAAAATGATTCAAAATTGAAACTGTTATCTTAAATGTCAAAACTGGTCACACAATTCCTGAGAACTATTTATGCTCTACTTAGTCTCAGTTAAAAATTATGTATTTTATTATTATGGGAAATATTCTAACTGGTCTCGTTTTTGAAATTTTGACATTGAGGAAAAAAAATAGCAAGATTACAAGAGCCAAGAAAGGCATTTTTCCCTCTTTTGAGTTTGCATACTTTTATTTTTCAGTTATTCATTAACTTATGAAAACTTCATTTGGATTTCATTTTAAACCTTTACTTTTAATGTTACATTATATGGGATTTTTTTTAACTCATAAGAACATGATTACATTGGATAACAGAAGATAGGATCTTACTCCTATTTGCACTCTATTTAATAAAGTACCTTAGACTTCATAGCAGCTGCTTAGTAAGAATGCAAATATTGTACATTAAGTGGTGTAATTGATAAGAAAGTAAGTAGTTGGGGAATAAGAGTGTCAATGATGACAACAAAACCAGAAAAGCTTTGGAAAAGTAAGAACATAATATAGGATTATTAGTATTGTGTTGGTACAATTTCAGTACTTTTTTTGTAATAATTTTTATTTGTAAAATATTCTTGTGACTAGAAGCCTAAATAAAGGATTAAAAACGTTTAATTTATTAAAATTATAAATCAATAAATTCTTGTTTTCTGTTCTTTTTTTGCTCAACTGATTTGGAGATACTTTTTTCATTACTTTTTTTTTTTAACTTTGCCTAGACGTTTACGGTCCTTAGTTAAAAGTATTACACTTCGAAGAACAAAGACAAGCAAAATTAAGGGGAAACCTGTTTTGGAATTACCCGAAAGGAAAGTATTTATTCAGCATGTTTCACTTTCAGAAGAAGAGAGAAAGATTTATCAGTCTGTTAAAAATGAAGGCAAAGCTATCATTGGAAGGTATGGAAACAGAGTTCCTTGTTAAATTTTTGTTTTTTTTTCTTTCTTTCTTAGCTTCTTATTAGCTGAATTGTAGGTTTTTGGACATTTTAGCTATAAAATCTGAAATGTATTGAAAACTATTTTCCTCCTGTGACTTATGTTTTAATTTTTTCTTTTAAAAATATTTGAAATGATTGAAACAATAGTATAATTCATCATGTAATTAATTTCTTGGGCTTGCAAAAAATTAAAGCTTGTATTGATTTCTGTCAGTGATGAGGAGCTTGCTCACTTCCTATGCTGAGTGTCATGGAGTAGATGCACAGGGCAGCATGCTTCCAGCTCAGTTCCATACTTGTTTTCTGTTTGACATACTCCTGAACCACATCTTACTTTGGGAGGTCTTGTTTGTTTTATTTTGTTTTGCTTTTTTGTTTTTGGTTTTTTTGTTATGTTTTTGTTTTTCTGTCTGTCTGTCTGTCTGTCTGTCTACCTACCTACCTATCTCTATCAACTCTTCAGTGTAGTCTTCCCTTACTGGCCTATAAAAACAATGTTAGTACTTTCTGATTCCTTCCCTCTGCCTCCCTCACCCCCTATAAAATTTAATATTTTAAATTGCCTGCTTTATTTTGTCAAAAATATAAACTCATTTTAATCTATTTCTATTTCTGTATGTTAGCTACTTTTACTTGAAATAGTTTGAGAAGAAATTTCACGTAGCACTGCTAAGATTTGGAACTTGGAAATCTCCTTAATTTTTTTTTTTAGCTTTCTTATTAAATCTGCTTTGTGCCTACCTCATTAAAGTGCCTCTGTTATGAAGAGTCCCCAGTTTACAGTCCTCTTTTGTCTTTGTCTAATTCTGACCTCTGTGGCCAATTGACAGCAGATAATGATGTTGCTTGAACTAGAATTATCCACCTTCTGATTCCTAATTCTTTTTGTCATCATTTCCTATTTTTAGATTTCTACACTTTGTTGTAAGTCACATTGACATATCACCCATGTTTGTAATACTACACAGAATACCAACCTACTCTATGAAAATCTTACTTTTTCAAAGATGGTTGCAAATTCAAATTGTTTATTTCAACTTCTTACTATCTTACCACCTTACTCTGTAAATACCCTCGCCTCACAGTGCACTGGTTACATCTTTTAGTTTCTTCTCAAAGATTTGGAATCAGCATTAGGAAGAGAAATTAATACTGAAAATTGATGCCTGTAAGTCAGATTGTTGCTTTGATAAACCTGGCAAAGTGGTTTGTAAACCTTTGAATTTGTGAAAGGAATGTTAAAGAATTTGAAACTTTGGGCTAGAAAAGCTAGAATTGTTCTAAGCAGAGTGTAATGAGTGAGGCGTTCTGGTTGGAATTTGAATAAGAATGCTGAGAGAAATATGAACAGTGGAGGCTCAGCTCATGAAATTTCAGAAAGGAGTAAGCACTATATTGGTCACTTGGTATGCTATTCTTTTCTTTTGCAGCAGTAAACTCTAGTAACCAAAGCAACTTAAGGGAAAGGATTACTTTGGCTCACAGTTCGGAGTTACTGTCTACCACTACAGGGGAAGAAGTCACAGTGGCAACAACTCTGGGCAACTTGTCACATTGCTGCGTCTGCATGCATAACCAATGTTTGCACTCCATTTTTTTTTCTTTCTTAAATCCAGTTCAGGATCCCAGACTATGGATTAGTGTTTACCCACACTGAGCTTATCTTCCATACACTTTAACCTAATCAATATAATCTCCCATACACATACCCCTATAAGCCCAGATGAACCCATAGGTATTTGGCAAGGAGATGTGGGATTTAGTGTTTGCCCTGCTGGATTTTGGTCTTTGGTCTAGTTTTTTCTTTCTATGCTACATTCTTCCCATTATAATGGGACTCTTTAGTCTGTGCCATAATATGTTTGAAGTATGTAACTCTAATTTTTTTCATATTATAGAGGCTCATGGTTAAATTATTGCTTGGAATTGAGAAGAGACTGTGTACTTAAACTTTCAAAGTGTTAGAACTGCTAAGACTGTGGAGACACTTGAAGTTGGACTGAAATTCATTTTTTTTAAGATGTAGCTTTAATAAAACTCATTTTTCATTTGTTTTATTATTATGTAATTTGATCATTTCGCCTTCCTTTTATTCGCTCCAAAGCTCCAAGATAATCCTCCTTGCTATTTCTAGTTTTTTTTATTGCTTTTTCTTTTTCTTTTTTTTTTAAAAACAGTCTTTTCTCACTTTATGTACCAATCCCAGTTTCTACTCTCTCCCCTCCTCCTGTTCCCTCCACCTTGTCCCCACCCTTCGCCCATCCACTCAGATAGGGTAAAGCCTCCCATGGGGAGTGAACAAAGTCTGGCACATCACTTTGTGACAGGACCAAAGCCCTCCCCACTATATTTAGGCTGAGCAAGATAGCCCTCCAAAAAGAATGGGCTACAAAAAGCCAGTTCATGCACTAGGCAGATATCCTGGTACCACTGCTAGTGGCCCCACAGACTGACCCAGCCATGCCACTGTCACCCACATTCAGAGGGCCTAGTTTGGTCCTATGCTGTTTCCTCCTCTGTGAGTCCAGAGTCAGTGAGCTCCCATTAGCTCATGTACATAGTTTCATTGGGTAGTCCCATCATAATGACCCCTTTGCCTTTGCTCATATTATTGCTTCTCCCTCTCTTCGACTAGACTTTGGGAGCACAGTCCTGGATGTCTGCACCTACTTCTGTCGGTTGCTGGATGAAGGTTCTATGATGACAATTAAGATAGTTATCAATTTGATTATAGGGGAAGGCCAGTTCAGGCACCCTCTCCACTATTGCTTAGGGTCTTAGCTGGGGTCATCCTTGTGGGTTCCTAGGAATTTCTCTAGTGCCAAGTTTTTTGTTAACCCCATAATGGCTCACTCAAGATATCTCTTTCCTTCCTCTATCTCTCTGTCCTTTCCTCATCTCGACCATCCCTTTCTCTCATGTTCTCCTCACCCTACCCTTTTCTTCTCCTGCTGCCCTTCTACCTTCTCTCTAACCCCCAGCCCCACACTATCAATTTTCTCAGGAGCTCTTACCTATTTCCCCTTCCCAGGGGGATACATGTATGTTTCTCTTAGGGTTCTTCTTGTTACCTAGTTTCTCTGGGGTTGTGACTATAGGCTGGTTATCCTTTGCTTTACATATAATATCCACTTATGAGTGAGTACATGCCATGTTTATCTTTCTGGGTCTGGATTACCTCATTTAGAATTTTTTTTCCTAGTTCCATCCATTTGCATGCAGATTTCAAGACGTTTTGATTTTTACCATTGAGTAGTATTTCATTGTGTAACTGTCACATTTTCTTTTCCATTCTTCAATTGAAGACATCTAGGTTGTTTTCAGGTTCTGGCTATTACAAATAATGCTGCTGTAAATGTAGTTGAACAAATTTCCTTGTAGTATGATTGAGCATCCTTTGGTTATATGCCCAAGTGTGGTATTGCTGGGTCTTGAGGTAGGTTGATTCCCAATTGTCTGAGAAATCACCATATTGATTTCCAAAGTGGATGTACAATTTTGCACTCCTACCAGTGATGGAAGAGTGTTCCCCTTACTCTGCATCCTCTCCATCATAAGAAATCATCGGTGTTTTTGAACTTAGTCATTCTTACTGGTGTAAGATGGTATGTCAGAATTGTTTTGATTTGCATTTCCCTGATGAGTATTCCTTAAATGTCTTTCAGCCATTTGAGATTCTTCTGTTGCAAATTCTCTGTTTAGAGCTATACCCCATTATTTAGTTGGATCATTTGAAATTTTGCTGTCTAATTTCTTGAGTTCTTTATATATTTTGGAGATCAGTCCTATGTCTGATGTGGGGTTGGTAAAGATCTTTTCCCATTCAATAAGCTGCCATTTCATCTTATTGGCTGTGTCCTTTGCTTTACAAAGGTTTCTCAGTTTCAGAAGGTGCTATTTATTTATTGTTTCTTTCAGTGTCTGTGCTACTGGTATTGTATTATATGTTGGAAGTGGTATCCTGTGCCCATGTGTTCAAGTCTACTTCTCATTTTCTTTTCTATGAGGTTCAATGTGACTGGATTTATCTTGCGGTCTTTGATCCATTTGGACTTGAGCTTTGTGCATAAGGATAGATATGAATCTATTTGCATTCTTTTGCCTGTTTCCAGTTATGCCAGCATCATTTGTTGAGGATGCTTTCTTTTTTCCATTGTATAATTTTAGGTTCTTTGTCAAAAATCAGGTGTTCATTTGTGATTGGTTTGATATCATGATCTTCGATTTGATTCCATTGGTCCACCTGTCTACCAATTACCAACTTGTTTTCATTACTGTACCTCTATAATGGAGCTTGATGTCAGGAATGGTCATGCCTCCAGAAGTTACTTTATTGTACAGAAATGTTTTGGCTGTCCTGGATTTTTTGATTTTTATATATGAAGTTGAATATTGTTCTTTCAAGGTCTGTGAGGAATTGTGCTGGGGATTTTGATAGGGATTGCATTGATTCTATAGATAGCTTTTGGTAGGATTGCCATTTTTATTATGTTGATCCTACCTATACAAGAGCATGGAAATTCTTTCCATTTTCTGATATCTTCTTCAGTTTCCTTCTTCAGAGACTTAAAGTTCTTGTCAAACAGTTCTCTCACATCTTTGGTTGGTATTACCCCAAGATATTTTATGTTATTTGTGGCTAATGTAAATGGTAATGTTTCTCAGATTTCGTTCTTGGCCTTTTTATCTATTGTATGTAGGAGGGCTCCAATTTGTTTGTTTATTTATTTATTTATTTGAGTGGGTCTTGTATCCTGCTACATTACTGAAAGTGTTTATCAGCAGTAGAATTTCCCTCATGCAAATTTTGGGATCGCTTATATATACTATCATATCATCTGCAAATAGTGAAAGAACTTCACTTCAACTTCTTCCTTTCCATTTTGTATCCCCTTGATCTCCTTTTGTTGTCTTATTGCTCAGCTAGACCTTTGAGTACTGTATTGAGAAGATATGGAGAGAGTGAACAGCCTTGTCTTGTTCCTGCGTTTAGTAGAATTGCTTGAGTTTCTCTCCATTTATTTTGATGTTGGCTGTCGGCTTGTTGCATATTGTTTTCCTAATGTTTAGATACATTCCTATATCCCTGGTCTCTGCAAGACCTTTATCATGAAGGGGCATTGAATTTTGTCTAATGCTTTTTCTGCATCTCATAAAATGATCATAATTTCTTTCATTTTGTTTATATGGTGGATTACATTGATTTTTATATGTTGAACTTTACCTGCATTTCTGGGATGAAGCCAACTTGATCATGGTAGCTGATTTTTTTTTTTTTTGATGTGTTCTTGGAATCAGTTTGCCAGCATTTTGTTGAGTATTTTTACATCAATGGTTATGAGGGAAATAGTCTGTAATTCTTTTTTTTAGTTGAGTCTTTGTGTGGTTTGGGTTTCAAAGTAACTATTACCTCATAAAAGAGTTTGGCAATGTTCCTTCTGTTTCTGTTGTGTGGAACAATTTAAGTAATATATGCATTAGCCCTTCCTTGAAGTTCTAGTAGAATTCTGCACTGAAACCATAGGGCCCTGGACTTTTTCTGGTTGGAAGACATTTGATTAAATTTCTCATCTGTTCTTTATTTAATTTTGATACGTGGTAACTATCCAGAAAATCATACATTTCTTTTAGATTTTTCTATTTTGTTTAGTACACATTTTTGAAGTATGGCCTAGTGATTCACTGAATTTCCTCAGTGTTGTTATGTCCCCCTTTTCATTTCTGATTTTGTTAATTTGGATGTTCTCTCTCTGCCTTTTGATTAGTTTGGATAAGGGTTTGTGTATCTTGTTGATTAAACTTAAAGATCTAGCCCCTTTTAAATAGTTTCTTTGTAATGTTTTCTTTGTTTCTATTTTATTGATTTCACCCCACAATTTGATTAGTTCCTATTCTCTACTCCTCCTGGGTGAGTCTGCATCTTTTTGTTCTAGAGCTTTCAGGTGTGCTATTATGTTGTTAGTGTGAGATTTACCCAATTTCTTTATGTAGGCACTTAGTGCTATGAACTTTCCTCTGCACTCCTTTCATAGTGTCCCATAGGTTTGGGTACATTTGCCTTCATTTTCATTGAATTCTAGGAAGTCTTTAATTCCTTTATTTCTTTCTTGACCAAAGGGTGGTTCAATTAAGCACTGTTTAATTTCCATGTGTTTGTGGACTTTCTTAAATCAGTGTTTTTGTTGACTTCTAACTTTAAACCATGGTGATCCAATGAGATACAGGGTGTTATTCCATTTTTTTTTGTATCTATTTACGTTTGCTTTGTTAATTGAGTATGTGGTCAATTTTAGAGAAGGTTCCATGAGGTGCTGAGAAGAAGTTATATTATTTTGTGTGTGGATAAAATGTTCTACAGTTAAGTCCATTTGAGTCATGCCGTGTGTTCTCTTATTTCTTTGTTAAGTTCCTTTCTGGCAGTCCTGTCCAGTGGTGAGAGTGGGGTGTGGAATTCTTCTAATATTAGTGTGTGGGGTTTGATGTGAGGTTTAAGGTTTAGTAATGTTTCTTTTACAAATGTGGGTGCTCCTGTATTTGGGAGATAGATGTTCAATATTGAGATGTCCTCTTAATGAATTTTTCCTGTGATACGTATGACGTTCCTTTTCTATCTCTTTTGATTGATTTTAGTTTCAAGTCTATTTTGATAGATATTAGGATAGCTACATCATCTTGTTTCTTAAGTCCATTTTACTGGATAATTTTCTTTTCCAACCCTTTACTCTAAGGTAAGTCTGTCTTTGAGGTTGAGGTATGTTTCTTATATGCAGCAAAAGGATGGATCCTGTTTTTATATCCATTCTCTTAGCCTGTGTCTTTTTATTGGTGACTTGAGTCCATTGATATTAAGGGATATTAATGATTGGCAACTTCACGGGAGGAGTCCCTGCAACAGTCACCAAGAATACAGAACTGGGCTTTTGGGTGGTTGTTTTTAATTTGTTGGGGATTTTCTGAGAAGGTGAGGTTTTCAGGAATGACCTGGAAGGAAGCTCCAATTGAGCAATAGCACCATTTAAATCTTTGGATTCTGTGTATGTACTCTGCCATTCACACACCTTTAGAAACTTTTTTGTTCTATTTTTTTTGTTTTTTGGGTTTTTTTTGTATCTTTTAAATGTCTTTCATCTACCCTTTATTGGTATTGATTTATTTATGATTCTTCATAACTAATTTTTGTTTTTTCAGTCCTTTCCTTTCATATGTCTTTGTCAGTAGGTTAAATGTGTCATGATTTGAATTAAAAATGCCCCCATAGGGACATTTAAGGGAGTGATACTAGTAGGAGGTGTGACCTTGATGGAGTAGGTGTGGCATTGCTGCAGGAAGTGTGTCACTGTGGAGGTAGGCATTGAGGTCTCAGATGCTCAAGCCAGGCCCAGTGCTGAATGGAGAGAGGGGTCCCTTTATTCTGTCCCGCCCGGCTAGCTTACACCTGAAATAATCACACAGAAATTGTATTCATTAAAACACTGTTTGGCCCATTAGATATAACTTTTTATTGGCTAATTTTTACATCTTAATTTAACCCATTTTCATTAATCTGTGTATTGTCACCTGACCATGGATTCTAACCAGATTCTGTCCCAGGCAGGATCTATGGCATCTGCCACACTGCCCTTCTTTCCAGCATTCAGTTGGTCTATTCCACCTATCTAAGTTCTGCCCTATCAAAAGGCTAAGGCATTTTTTTTATTCAACCAATGAAAGCAACACATAAACAGAAGAACCTCCTACACCAACCCAGTGTGGCACTCTCTTTCTTCTGTCTGCTGATCCAAATATAGAACTCTGAGCTACCTCTCCAGCACTATGTCTGCCTGCATGCCACCATGCTTTCTGCCACAACAATGGACTAAACCTCTGAACTGTAAGTCAGCCCCAATTAAATATTCATAGAGTCTCTTCACAGCAATAAAAACCCTAACTAAGACATAGTGTGACTCTTCCTGTCTCTGGTGGCTTCCTTTTCCTTGTTATAATCAGGTTTGTCTTGGATCTCTGGTGTTGACATACTACATCTTGTAAAATCTCTTTATCTTTGCCATGAACTCATATTGTTTGCTGCTACTTGTTCCATTGATGATCTTAAATCATGGTGTTACTCACAGTCCTAATTTTTATTTTTTCTGTGGTTGTAATTTTTTCTGTTGAGTTTTCTTTTACTGTCTTCTTTGTGCTATGCTGGTATTCAATATTTGATTATCTTGTTCTTTCTGGAATAGCTGTTTGCCCAGATTTACATAAAGGTCCTGGCTATGTCCTAGGCCATGAAACAATTCATAAGATTCAGTGTGAATCCTTCTAGGTTTTATTGATGTTTATACAACAGAGATCAGAAACATTATAATTGCTTATAAAATTGAGGATTGTGCTATAGCTTCCCTTCCTCTGCGTGTGTGTATGTGTGTGTGTTTGTGTGTATGTGTAAATTGGACTAGAAAGTTCAGTCACCATGCATACATCCTATTTCTGTTTTCACATGAGACGTACTAATTTCTTCCCATTGTGTATATACCTCTTACTTTGAAGAAACAGCTGAGGAATGTAGTCGATGCTTATTGACATTTCCATGGCTGATTTTCTTTTTTCTTGGTTTCATTAAAGATGGGTGGCTTTTGATTCTGTTCTCATTTAGAGATATTGACAATATTTGACATTTTATCTCTAGGTATTTTACTGAAGGTACTGTCCTTGCACACTATGCAGATGTCTTGGGTCTTCTGCTTAGATTGAGGCAGATTTGTTGTCATACTCATCTTCTTACAAATAGCATGTCTTCGAGTGGTCCCTCTGGTAAGGAAATGTGATTGGTTCATATCATTGTATTTGCTAAATATTTCACTCAGAAGGACAGATTTTTATATGACTTGAATTTGGTCTGTTACTTTGCTATGCCTTGCTTTAATTAAGATTTTTAAAAATTACATCTTTATGTGTTTGTATATGAATATGCATGGGTGCATGGATGCATATGTGGAAGTCAGAGGACAACTTGCAAGAATCAGTTCTTTCTATACCCTGTGGGTCCTGGGATTGAGTTCATGTTGTCAAGCATGGTGGCAGATGTCTTTACCTGCTGAGTCTTCTTTCTGACTCCAAAAATTTTTTTATGAATGAAAAGGAAGTGTGATGTCTTTGTAAGATTTCCAGGTTATTCAAACTGGTTCTTTCTCATATGTTGCTAGTGTATCAGATACTATTTTATGCTTGTGTGATGTGAGATTGCATCTTCTGAATTTTTCTTAGACTTCCAAATATATGACATGTGTTTTGCAAATGCTAGAATAATGATTAAAGACAATTAAGCAAAGTTCTTTATATAAGAGAAACTAGGCCAGGCAGTGATGGCACACACCTTTAATCCCAGTACCCGGGAGGCAGAGGCAGGCAGATCTCTGTGAGTTCGAGGCCAGCCTAGTCTACAAGAGCTAGTTCCAGGATAGACCCCAAAGCTACAGAAAAACCCTGTCTTAAAAAAAAAAAGTAAAAGAAAGAAAATAGAAAAGAAAAGAAGAGGAACTATTCTAGTTATATTACAATGTTCTACATGAATTTTTGAACCTCTTTTTTTGTCTTCTAGGAAATGATACGCCTGAAGAACTGAGAAAGATGTTAATAAGGAAGATGAAGTTAATTCTGAGCTCTGGTTCAGATGAAGAATGTGCAATTTGCCTGGATTCATTAACATTTCCTGTGATAACACATTGTGCACATGTATTTTGTAAACCTTGTATTTGCCAGGTCATTCATAATGAGCAGGTTAGTTTTTTGTTCAGTATGGAGTCAGTGTTTGCTAGAGTGATACAACTTTCTTTGGTGTAATGAAAACCCAACCTAATTCAGGGAATGATAATGTGTTCTAATTTGAATTTAATATTGTACCTTTCACAGTTAATTATTTATGCTGTAATAGGTGATGTATTTACCATAAATTAAAAGGCATTACTTTTTGGAAGTACTACCTTTTAGTCAGTAAATTTCAGATCCTGTGTTCAATTAAATACGTTAATAAAATGAGACATGAATTTAAGTTTTATAGTAGCCATATTTTTTAAAAAGTTAAAAGTAACATGTTTATTTTAATTTAGTCTAATATGTTTAAAGTAAACTATTTGTTATATTTTTTCTTAAACTAATTTCAAAATCTGGTGATCATCCTAGTCTGGCTTAGGGATCTGTTTCAGGGATCTGATTGACACATACAGCTCTTTGCCCTGTTGAACACAATAGGATAACTAGGGCTAGATTATTCTGAGGACAATGTTGGAAACTGAATAACACCTTAAGTAATCTTTCAGCTAATGCAAATAAAAATATTTCAAAGTGATGTGTACATGCATGTGGAAAAATGCACAAATTACAGTTTTAAACTGGATTAAGAAGTAAACATAGCTATATAAACTACTACCCGTACTTACTTCTCCCCCTAGCTTTTTATCTTCTACTCCTAAAAGGCAGTTCTTTAAATAGATTTTTAATGCATAAATTTTTGTATCTTTTTGATTTACAGTGTTATTGAGTATCTAGTTAAGATATAATCTCACTTTATTAGATCTTGCTTTGAGTGTACTTGTAGTATTTTAGTACTATGGACTTCTCAAGCTATTATAAACTTTGTAAACTAGTTTTATAAACTCTTGCAGTGGTTCTTAACCTTTGTAATGCTGCAACCCTTTAATACAGTTCCACATGTTATGTTGACCCCAACCATAACATTATTTTGCTGCTACTTTATAACTGTAATTTTGGTAGTGTTATGAATTGTAATGTAAATATCTGGTATGCCAAACATGACCCACACATTGAGAACCACTGCATTAAAGACTTTTTCTTTTGGAGAACTGCATGCGTGTTTATTGTATTATAGTTAAGTTCAAGAAATTATTCATCACATTTTATTTAGCAGCAAATGGTACTCAATGCTCTGAGCTTCTGCCATTAGTCAGGATTGCACTCTTTTGCTCTATCCTTTATATATGTCTCTTACAACGTGACGACATGTTTGTGTGTTTGCAGTTCAGGAACAAGTTGATCCCAAGTAGATGTATGTGACAAAAGTAGATGTATGTGACAAAAAGCCTGAATAAAATTAATCATAAGGGATGTAGAACTTTCTATATATTACAGAAAAATTAGAAAATTTATATCTCTATACTTATAAAAGTGTGGTTCACTCTTTGTTCTTTTGTATATAGCCACATGCTAAATGCCCTTTATGCAGAAATAATATACATGGAGATAATTTAATAGAATGTCCTCCAGAAGAATCAGCATGTGACAGTGAGAAAAAGTCCAATATGGAATGGACGTCCAGTTCAAAGGTAAAGTACTCATGTGCAGATATTCTCTCATTTCATATTTAATGAGGGAATAACCTATAATTAAAATAGTTATCCTAATTCTGCTTTAAGGCTCTCATTGCATATTATTTTGTTGTTGCTACTGACTTGTGTTTATATTTAGTGTTAAACTTAAGTTAGAAAAGAAAGGGATTTGGATTATTATGGTATTTTTCAGTCTCTATTCTTTTGTTTTTTAAAGTATATAAAAACTCTTTCAATGTTGGAATTTATTCAGTGAATGCTGCCTTATATGAACCTGATTAAAATTAGTGTTTGCTAATAAATTTTTTAAAACTACAATATTTGGACTTATCTTACCAATTGAGATGGAATCTAGTGAATATAATATTTTTTTTTCCAGATCAATGCTCTAATGCATGCTTTGATTGAATTACGGACAAACAACCCCAACATAAAAAGTTTGGTTGTTTCTCAGTTTACCACATTCCTGTCTTTAATAGAAACGCCACTTAAGTAAGTTTAACAGTGTTTTTTACTTCACATAGGAGGATTTTGCTCATGTGTATTATTTGATACCAAAAATCAAGGTTTTAATGTTTTATCAGGTTTAGTCATTTCATCTTTTAAATGATATTTAATGTGACCACAGAACTTCTCCTGAATATAATCCATTAAGTCCTGAATTAATCAGAAAGTAATTGACTTAGTATTTGACAGATGGCTAGATGCATAGTATTGCTTTATTGAGAAATGAATGAAGGAATAAATGTGTAGTCCCTGGGAAGGTTGCTTGCTTAGCTTATGCAAGGCTTGGGTTTGACTAGTCTTTTACTACATTAATTTAACTAAGGAAGAATTTGGTTTAACTAAAATGTGTTAACTATTTAGTGCTTTTTATAGTATAGTATTACCTATCTGTTCTTTTTTCCCCATTAGAGCCTCAGGATTCATGTTTACTCGTTTAGATGGTTCCATGACTCAAAAGAAAAGAATTGAATCAATTCAGTGTTTTCAAAATACAGAAGCAGGATCTCCCACTATAATGCTGCTGTCCTTAAAAGCAGGTGGAGTTGGCTTGAATCTTAGTGCAGCTTCTCGGGTGTTCTTAATGGATCCAGTAAGTACTTATATAGACTTTGCAAAATGTTATCCCCCAACTCCCATCCCCAAACAAAAACCAAAAGAAATAAAGAAAGAAAAAGAAACAAAACCTGTTTGGTAGATGCCTTTGTAGTTACAATTAATTGTGAAAGGTAACATTATCCTTATTTGCAGTAGAGGAAACCAGCGCACAGAAAAGTAAACAGAATTAAACAATGTACAGTATCATACAGTACTCTGTAAGTTAGATTCTGTGTTCTTAAATACTAATCTGTGCATTTCTACGGTTCTGAATACATAAAACTTGCCTGTTAAAGTGCTTTTAAGATTCAGTAAGCAGCAAATTAATAAGTTCTCACTTAAGGTTGTATGATAGAGATACTGGGAATCTGACTATGAATCAGACATAGTGGCTCCTATTGTATTTGCTGCCTCTAACTTGCCTAAACATTAGGGCAAATGCAGTTTTAAACCTCTCTTTTCTGAGACCTAGGAGTTCCTGGAGGAGACTTAAAATGTATATTTTATACATGTATTCTAGCTGATTCAGGTTCAGCTGGCCATCAACATGTTCTGGGTAAGTTTTACTACCTGATAGTGGTTGTATAATTCAGGCTGTAGACATAAGAGAGCCACGATTTACTCTGCATGTTTTTCACAAAGACAATCTGAGGTTGAATACATGTAGGAGTATATTTTTCAGAGTGGACTCTTTAGATATAAGCACCATAGACTGGTTTTAATTTCTAATTTGCTCAGTGTGCTATGTGGGCCAGGCAGTCCTGTACTATTTCTATGCATTGATACATTTATGATTTATGATTTTGGCTTGTTTCTTGAAACAGCAGATTTATAAAATGGTAGGTAGCATGTAGCCATTTTACTCAGATAAGAATATTAGTTATTCTGGTAAGGCTTCCTTACTTGCTGCATGCGTCGTGACTTTTTTTTTTTTAAACTGTTTTCTTTTTGAGGATAACCTTCCCAGAGTCATGTTGTACCCACTTCCATGGGTGCAAATCATGGGTACCAGTGGTGTATATTTCCTTAGTGCTGTGGTCAAATCCAAAGTTAAAAATTATGGTTATTGTTTTAGAAATCTTGTATGCTACGATATACTAACTAATTCAGGTATAATCCTTTAATCCCAGCACTCGGGAGGCAGAGGCAGGTGGATCTCTGTGAGTTCGAGACCAGCCTAGTGTACAGAGAGAGTTCCAGGACAGGCTCCAAAGCTACAGAGAAACCCTGTCTCAAAAAACAAACAAAAAAACAAAAACAAAACAAAAACAAAACAAAAAAGTCATTTTTAGAACAGAGTATAAAATTGTTTTTCTTAAGTTGGTCACTGAAGTTATGGTTTGAAAAAATGTCACAATGTTTTACCACTTTTGTAGTATATTGATTTTCACTGAACTTGCCACACTTTTCAATGTCATTTCTAACTTAAAAGCAAAAGCTAACCCACAGAAAAATAAGATTCAACAACAAAAACTTGAAAATTGAAAATTTTTTACCTATTCATAAAGTATTCTGTAAATGTTGAAGTAATATTTAAATGGACATCATGAGTTACCTCCTCCCAACACCCTCCCACTCCCCCCACTCCCTCCCCTCCTCCCACTCCATCCCCAATAGCCCTCAGGGTCTACTGCCCTGTGGGTAGTTCATGCTCCTCCCCCCTCCATCCAGGTCCAGGAAGGTGAGCATCCAAACAGACTGGATCCCAAAAATCCAGTATATGCAGAGGAAACAAGACCCAGTGCCATTGTCAATGGCTTTTCAGAAAGACTCCTGGCCAGCCACATTCACAGAATCCGACCTCATTCAGAGAATCTGGCTGGATTACGTGCTCTCTCAGTCCCAGACAACTGGCCTTGGTGAACTCTCATTAGATCCGTCCCCTTGTATCAGTGGGTGATCGCACCCCTCGCGGTCCTGATTTCCTTTTTCATGTTCTTCCTTCTTCTGCTCCTCATTTGGACCTTTAGGGACTCAGTCCAGTGCTCCAATGTGGGTCTCTGTCTGTATCGCCATCCATCGTCAGATAAAGGTTCCTCTGGTCTTGCCTTCTTTGCTCACGTTCTCTTTCCTTCTGCTTCTCGTTTGGACCTAGGGAGTTAAGTCCAGTGTTCAAATGTGGGTCTCCATCTCCATCTCCATCCATCGCCAGATGAAGGATCTATGGTGATAAGCAAAATATTCATCAGTATGGTTATGGGCCAAGGCCAGTTCAGTCACCCTCTCCTCTGTCCAGAGAACAATCTTGGGATCTCTCCTTGGACCTGGGATCCCATTTATAATCAAGTCTCTAGTAAACCCTAAACTGACTCCCTTAGTTGAGATATATTCTTCCCTGATCCCATATCTATCCTTCCTCCCTCCCCCCTCCGAGTCCCCCGAGCATTCCTCATTCCTCCCCTGCTCCCTTCTCTCCAACCACCTCCCCTTCCAGCAACCCTCCCACCCCCCCAAGCACCCGAGGTTACCTGGGACTCTTGTCTATTTCCAATCTCCAGGAGGAAAACTACCTGAATTTTCTTCAGGTTCACCCTCCTATCCAGCTTCTCTAGGATCACGAATAATAGGCTCAAAGACCTTTAATTATGGTTAGAATCCACTTATGAGTGAATACATACCATATTCCTCTTTTTGGGTCTGGCTTACCTGACTCAGTAAAGCGTTTTCTTTTTCTTTTTTTATTATTATTTTTTTAAATTTTTTATTATTTTTAATTTTTTTATTTAATTTTTACTGGGAACCCCTCCAGAATCAAGTCTCTTGCAAACCCTAAAATGACTCCCTTAGCTGAGATATAAACCTCCCTGCTCTCACAGCCATCCTTCCTTCCTCCCCCCCTCCCATTCCCCCAAGCCATCCCCAATCCTCCCCCTCTCCCCTTTCCCTGACCATCTTCCCTTACTACCAACTCCACCCCCCATGCACCCGAGTTTGCCTGGCAATCTTGCCTACTTCCACTATCCAGGAGGATAACTATATGATTTTCTTCAGGTTCACCTTCTTATTTAGCTTCTCTAGGATCACAAATTCTATACTCAAAGACCTTTAACTATGGCTAGAAACCACTTATGAGTGAGTACATACCATATTCCTCTTTTTGGGTCTGGCTTACCTCACTCAGTAAAGCGTTTTCTATTTCCATCCATCTGCATGCAAAATTCAAGATGTCATTGTTTTTAACCGCTGAGTAAAACTCTAATGTATATATGTTCCACACCTTCTTTAACCATTCTTCTATTGAGGGGCACCTAGGTTGTTTCCATGTTCTGGCTATTACAAATAGTGCAGCTATGAACATAGTTGAACAAATACTTTTGTAGTATGATAGGGCATCTCTTGGGTATATTCCCAAGAGTGGAATTGCTGGGTCCTGAGGGAGGTTGACTCCCAGTTTCCTGAGAAACCGTCACACTGATTTCCACAGTGGCTGCACAAGTTTGCATTCCCACCAACAATGGATGAGTGTTCCCCTCACCCCACATCCTCTCCAGCATAGGCTATCATTGGTGTTTTTGAGTTTGGCTATTCTGACAGGTGTAAAATGATATCTCAAAGTTGTTTTGATTTGCATTTCCCTGATCGCTCAGGAGGTTGAGCATGACCTTAAGTGTCTTCTGGCCATTCGAAGTTCATCTGTTGTGAATTCTCTGTTCAGTTCAGTACCCCATATTTTAATTGGGTTAATTAGAGTTTTAGTGTCTAGTTCCTTGAGTTCTTTGTATATTTTAGAGATCAGACCTTTGTCTGATGAGGGGTTGGTGAAGATATTCTCCCAGTCAGAAGGTAGCCCTTTTGTCTTACTGACAGTGTCCTTTGCTTTACGGAAGCTTCTCAGTTTCAGGAGGTCCTATTTATTCGTTGTTTCTCTTATTGTCTGTGCTACTGGGGTCCTACTTAGGAAGTGGCCTCCTGTGCCTATATCTTGTAGACTACTTCCCACTTTCTCTTCTATCAGGTTCAAAGTGGACAGATAAATCTTGATGTCTTTAATCCATTTGGACTTGATTTTTGTGCATGGTTATAGATATGGATCTACTTTCATTCTTCTACAGGTTGACATCCAGTTATGGCAGCACCGTTTGTTAAAGATGTTTTCCTTCTTCCATTGTATACCTTTAGTTCCCTTGTCGAAAATTAGGTGTTCATAGGTTTGTGGGTTAGTATCCGGGTCTTCTATTCGATTCCATAGGTCGACTTCTCTGTTCTTATGCCAATACCAGGCTGTTTTCAATACTGTAGCTCTGTAATAGAGTTTGAAGTCAGGGATGGTAATGCCTCCAGAAGTTCCTTTATTGTATAAGATTGTTTTGGCTATCCTGGGTTTTTTGTTTTTCCATATAAACTTGATTATTGTTCTCTCAAGGTCTGTGAAGAAGTTTGATGGGATTTTGATGGGGATTGCATTGAATCTATAGATTGCTTTTGATAGAATTGCCATTTTTACTGTGTTGATTCTCCCAATCCAAGAGCAGGGGAGGTCTTTCCATTTTCTGGTATCCTCCTCAATTTCTTTCTTCAAAGACTTAAAGTTCTTGTCAAATTGGTCTTTCACTTCCTTGGTTAGAGTTACCCCAAGATATTTTATGCTATTTGTGGCTATCGTGAAAGGTGATGTTTCTCTGATTTCCCTCTCCGCTTCTTTATCCTTTGTGTATAGGAGGGCAACTGATTTTTTGGAGTTGATCTTGTATCCTGCCACGTTTCTAAAGGTGTTTATCTGCTGTAGGAGTTCTTTGGTAGAGTTTTTGGGGTCACTTATGTATACTATCATATCATCAGCAAATAACGAAAGTTTAACTTCATCCTTTCCAATTCGAATCCCCTTGATCTCCTTATGTTTTCTTATTGCTATTGCTAGAACTTCAAGCACTATATTGAAGAGGTATGGAGAGAGTGGATAGCCTTGTCTTGTTCCTGATTTTAGTGGAAAGGCTTTGAGTTTCTCTCCATTCAATTTGATGTTAGCTGTCGGCTTGCTGTATATTGCTTTTATTA